AACCTACCTTATTGTAAGTGTTATGTCTATATTGTACAATTATTTTTACTTTGAAGTCGGTGTCAGTCAATGTAGATTCATTACTTAATTTCAATAAACTACTAAACTTTCAATTGTCAATTGTTATGGTAAAAATGTGGAAACCCTTACGTAGAAATATCTCTGGATACCTTGACTGACACCGACATCAAAGTAAAAATAATTGTACAATATAGACATAACAGTTACAATAAGGTAGGTTTACTATTTTCAAGAAATTATTTCGTTACTTTTTAGTGTACTGTTTTTTTGAGAATATTTTGTTTTTGGTGTATTTTGTTTTGTTTTTAGTGCATTTTGTTTTGTTTTTAGTGTATTTTGTTTGGAAGTCGGTTTTTTTTAACACACAAACTGTACAATTTATTGCCATATCAGGGTAAAGACGATTTTGTAAAGTGAAACTGTAAAATATGGATAGCAAATACAAAGCGAATCAAAATTGATATTCGCATTTTGGAATTAAAGAATCTTTAATAAGTAACATCGTTTATTAATTTAGAAATTGTAGTAAATCATTAATTGATTAAGGTATCAGATATTTTATTTGATAGCGTTCACATAGTTACAGCTGTTTCTTTATTTTCACGTGTTCATACTTAACGGCTTCCAAATGAGTCATAGAAGAAAACAAGAAGCCTCAGTTCTCACGGCAAAAGATGACATGCAGGGAAACACGAGATGCTGAACTGCTAACATTTCCCACACTCTGCATATCTCGCCTTCATATATCAAGTTGGCAAAGTGCAAAAAAGCATAGACAATGATACAATTGTGAAGTCATAGCTTTCTCACAATCTCCCCCCTTATCGTGGTACAGTTAATTAGTAGGGGGTAAATGACCACCGTTCTTCCGGATGATGTAAAATTGGAAAACGATGATCTCGAACAGAAACGTACAAAAGATCGGTTTTCCTTTCTTATTGTTACCCTATTTTTAAGAAATTATTTAGGTATTTCCATATTCAGTCATAATTAAAGGTTTTCCGAGCAGTTTTTGTAATAATTTCCATAAAATTCTTATTTTCCACCAGGATGTTACTGATTCCAAGGAACTACAATGGCTTTTTTTAACGTAATGAATGAATAACCATGAGTTTTTCATCGTCACTATCTTTGATACGTCATTATGTGAATAGTCACGCTATCCAAGATTTATGAAGTATGAATTACTATTTATCATTCCATTGATGTGATTGTCTATGAACGTGTAAATCTATGGTCGCCAAGGGGACAGGGATTGCTGGTAAGTTATGATATTACCAGACGTATAGTAAAAGGATAACAGGTGGCGAGAAATCTTCGTTTTTTTGGTTTTATACTAACTCTCGATAATAACTGACAATATAAATGTTGTTTATAAATGTTTATTTGCTTTAGTCTTCATGCTATTTGAAATGCATCATAGATATAGTACGAAGAAGGCGAAATTAGTCAACCTTAATGCGACAGTAATTAGGATGACAAACGACTAATTCAAAAAAATCCATTTCATTAATATCATCCTATTCTCATTTCAAATATAAAAGTATGACTATTGAAGAAAACAGTTATTTTGCACAACATCCGTCGAATTAAGGGTTAAGCGTATTTAACTTATAATGTTACTTTTGGGTTCACCCAATGGTATTTAAAAATAATCATTGTGATCACATCTAATTAATACAGGAACAGGATCTAGGAAATTCCAATCGTAGACTTGATTAGTTCAGTTTGATTTTTGCGTGTTAGTAAACGATTACTTACGATCTGATTAATTACACGCCACAGTTATGTCGTCAAGCGGCGTCACAGCTGTCATGGGAAAACGTAACTCAGAAAAAAACAAAACTTCACGTTGCCTGTAAACTATGTTAATAGAAGTCATGCTTTAGTTTTATGAATGAACAGTAAAGATTATTTTTACCTCATAGTAAAAAGAATACTACAGTATTTTTTATACAAAAGAATGGGACTAACAACAGCGGGAACATCGAGATGTTTGTCGACGTCTCTACATCCGCAATACTAGAAGAACTGCAGATGCGTTGTCGGCCTTTGAAGATATGACCGCTTTCTGAAGGACCCTAAGTCGTGGTGATTTGGCAATACCGCCAACGACAGACCATTCCACAACGCGGCTGTACGTACACTACAGTGTCCTATGAGATTAACAATTTCTGAGGAGTAAGGAGGAGGAGGAGCAATTTGACCAGATTTTAAACGTCGTTTGAAGAACGAAGAGTTTAAAGCAACATTCCTTATGTAGGAAAAGGATAGGATTTTGACCAATAACCCGTGTTTATACCTTTTGTCCTTTGGGAGGACACTTCTTGCTGGTATTTTTCTTATACCGTGAATGGGAAAGTCGCAGAGCTTTACGCCTTTGTCTTCTCACACCAGACAATATTTAATTACTTTTGGTATACTGTTGACAGTCTTCTGGTTCAATGTTACTTTCCTATAATAGCTGTATTACCACTGACGGCTTAAACATTTATCATGAGACATATTTGATTGAGATTATAATTTATCAAGTAAGTATTTAACAAGTTTTATTCTCATGGTTTAATATTACAGAATAAATATTCAATAATAAATACATTAAGTTATGAATATTAATTTATGACCGTGTGAAAATGCCAAATGTTACAATAAAATGAATAAGTAGGATTTATTAACTAAATTATCATTCGAGAAAAACATTATATTCACATAAAAAGACGATAATTTTTATTTAAATCAGAGCTAGGAACAATGGCGGATGGGTGGGCACTTGATAATCATCTAAGGTCGGATCGCTGGCGCGGAACGCTATGCCGGGAAGAAGACTTTTATCATGTGAAGACATTTTAAAGACATTCCCACACACGGCCACTGATTTTTCACGATTAACTCTGATTCTTGCGACGTTAATTACTCTTTGAGTGCGGTTTTTATAATTTAATTAATCGAGCTTTGTTTATATCGCTGTTATATTTTGATGTGTGGGAATTTTTGATGGATAAGGTTATTGTTTTTTTGGTTGACTAAATAATTGTTCGCATTATATTGAAATGTAACAACTACAGATGAATTAATTGCAAAAATTTTTTTCATGGTTTTATTTTAAGCGTTTATGTTTTTAATATGGTTAGATTGTGTTGTGTCTACATCCAGTAGACGTCATTTGTGTAATCATCAACTAAAGTATCAATTACATCGTCTACTTAGTAAATATCAGTTTTGTATAACAAACTAGCGATTACTTGTAGAATAGATCCCACGTCAATTTGTCTCAAGTAGAACTGACAGATGTATAGCTGTCTCTTTCTGGCTTATAGAGAATAGTATGTCAGGGGGTTTGCGTAATAACAACAAAAAATGTACTGTTTAAATTCATTTTTATTAAAAATATTCACGTTTTCTAACGACTGCCTATTTTTTGAACTATTTATGGGTTTTTAAAGCTCCATAAACAATATTAATTCTGGCAGTCGTCACTTAAATAATGACAATCTTTAAAAATACGAATACCAAATGTAAAAAATGATAAAAATGCATGAGTAAACAGTTTTTTCATTGTAAAAAAAAGTTGAAAAATCGTTTACATTTTATACAAAATTGACGAAATATTCTGTCTATTTCAATACTTATTCACCGTAATACTGCGTCTACAATACCAATTCCATATAAATGTCTCGTAATTTAATTATTTTTATAGTCGATATAAAAATCAATATTTTTATAAAAAATTTTGTACTTATTAATTCACTTCCTTATGGAATGTTTGAAAAATCACACTCTCCATTATAAATACACACGATATCGATTTACCAAAAAAAAAATTTATAAAACATCTGAAAAGTCGCATTTTAAATAAATAGAAATTTTCAATTGAAAGTCTCCTCTAAAATATAACAAATGTACTATCGACTAATTCTAACTACATCACTAGTTGTTCATTAAAATCTCCGTTAATATACATACATACATAATGAATACGACAGTAATGCGTGCCCTAAGACAAAAAAAGTAGGTAAATCAATGAGAAAAATTCGAGTGGCAGAATTACCTTTGCCAATAGCCAATAAAAAACGCAACCAAGCGAGCACAGATAATGTAGCAAAACATATTTGGTTTTCATCCCTTCAATAATGCCGCGTTCACATTATTCCAGTCCAGCGATCGAATCCATCTCTGGATTACATCTATAAAAGTTAAAATTTAACTGGAATGTATGGGATCCAGGGTTGGGTTTGATGTATAGATTTGTAATCCAGCGTTGGAATCGCTGGACTGGAGTATTGTAAAATTGGCATAAAACTTAATCTTACGTATACAAACTTATAAACGAAGTCTTCGAATATTCGCTTAAGTAATCTCGAGACATCTCAACCTAATTTTATTTTATGTGACCCTTAACTATATCTATGTTGACTTGTCATGGACATTACAGCTATTTGGCCCCGAAGAATCGAATCAGAGCTGAGAGATTTCATCATAATTTAAATCTCAAAAAAGTCAGGCTAGGAACAAATGCTCTAACAATTCTACTTTACACAATTAGGCAATACAATATTAGAACAAAAACTCTTCAATTCCATCTGTGGTTTCAAAGTTTCTTTCGTCTTATCGCCGCGAAACTGGAACACAGCATGTGTTCCCACCTTAACAAAAATGCACACCAAAATATCGAATAAAATTGCAATAAGCTTACGTTCATTTTAAAAATATAAACTAGTCTAAAGATGAGCGTGATACGTGAGATACAATTTCTGATAAATTATAAAACGATAGTTTTTAAACCAAAAGTCTATAATATTTCTTTAAAAAGTAAATTGTATTGCTTTTCTAACGTTACCTATCTTAGTATATAGCATTTTGGTGTCGTAATCTCGCAGAAAAAAGTAAATTTAAATGTAACTTTAGAATTGTAATTGAGACCGTTTACTTCGCGAATGTTCTAGAACGGCAAAGCTATTGACTCTCGCTGTAATTCTTATTTAAAAAAATGCTATTCTATGTTACGGTTACATAATCGTGAATATTATTTAAGTTCTGAAATTCGGTTTTAATTTTTCATCATATTACGATAGTCTTCGCATTTTAGACCGAAAAGCTGCACCAAAAAACATTGGCACATTACAGTGATCGTATTTAGACATTAGAAGTCAATCGAGGCAGGTCAAATAAAGCGAACATACAGGCACTATCGAAACTAACATGCTAATGTCACTCACCAAATCTACCACTTCCTAGTTCACCAATTATTTATAACTCTTTGGAACCTTTTAGAACAGCAACGGATGTTAGGGTTGTCACTAGCGAATCCACTCCGCGTCTTATTTAGTTGTCACTACACTGGCACTCAGCCTTTATACCACCGGGGTCCATATTTAGACCGTTTTTGTCACTGCACTTTTATAGTCTGTCACAAAGTTGTGACTGAGACCGAGTCTGTAGAGACCGGTAGTTGTCACCGCAGACTGTCAAGTCTGCAGTCCTGCTGCTATTGTATGTTGTCCGGCAGGCGGTGTGCGATGGCGTCATGATGCCAGGCCTGCTCGGGGCGCATCACGTCGTCAACGGGCGGGCACACCGGCCGCGGGCCCGGCTCTGGAGTGTACGTGAAAGTCAGACCCGTAGCGTATATTATCCCATCGTTCCTCACCAGTGACACTGGCACCTGGAAATGTTCAAATGAATTAGAAAAATAGATTCATCTTAGGTCTCTGTGGCATTTTATATCTCTACTAATTAAAATCATGTATACTAAAATTTTACAACATTTAAATGCACATTCTATAGAGGTAATTTAACGAGCTTTTCAACAGCACAATTAAAGCAGAAACATAGTAAAATATCGGTCGGGATAAGTCTGAATTTATTACATTCGATAGTATCCTTTTTGTTCAAATAGTATTCAGAAATTTTCTTTGTTTTATAATATTTTACGAATACGTTACCTGGGTGGGCTGCCGCACCCATAGCCACTGTCCCCTGAACTGTGATATGTCCGGCACAACGCACAGCATGGACTCAGCACAGCGGTACATTGTCTCCGCCTCCACATCACCGAACCACACCTGCAGTGAGGGTGTGAAGTTGTCCCCGGCTAGTTCCAGCATGGCCACATCCCCGCCGCCATTCAGGTTCAACGAATGGACTAGAGGCACAGGTGTCACCGGAGACCTAATTCAATTTTTTTTTATTAACATGACCCCTATTAGGGGACAAATGTAATAACAATTTACTGATCTACTTTCTGACCCTATTCTAAAAATACACGGGGGTCCCGCGACCCTATCTGTATACATCGAACGGATGGTTCCGAAACAATTTTATCTCATTGACATTATACAACTATTCGAATCGATTAACACTGCTAACAAACGTTATGGTAGAACGAGTTCGAATAATAAATCGATTTTAAAGATTTTTTTTTATTATTTTAACTTAATTATGGCAAAAATAAATAAATGCCTCTAATCGATTGCGGTATTGGAATTTGATATTAAGATTTAGAAATCGAATAAATATTAGAAACGAAATAGTTAACAAAAAATATTTCGAGATCTCTTATTTCGTTCTAGGAAGAGCATCTTAAAATCGTTTCTATTTTAGTATTCTCTTGGATTACAAGGTTTATGTTCTTATGAAAGCCAAAAGTCAAATTGGGTTGTTATTAAACTTCTTGGATATGTTTTGCAAATAGGCGTGAGAAAGTTTCACAATGTGTAATTGATAGAGATATCACTGTGATAAGATCGCCCGCGGGAACCACTAGGGTTATATTTTATCCCACGATATATGCATGTGTTCAATAATCTTCCTTGCACACATGCAAATATATCCATCTTCTATCTTCTATACATATAATAAAATTGGAGTGTCTGTAATATTAAATGAAACATTCCAGGTTTCAAAAAGATATATTCGCGTTACTGATAACGAAAATGACATTTAAAAAAATGTCTGTCTGTCTGTCAGCAAGCCGCGTTTTCGCTAGACCGATTTCGACCGGAATTTCACTGAAGGGTAGCTGACATAGACGGCACATTTACCTACTTTTTTATCCTAATATTGCGTGGACGAGGTCGCGGGCAACAGCTAGTGGGATTAAAATCGTTTTAAACAATCGGGTCAACGACTTCGAAGTGTCAAAAATTGATAGAAAGTTGCAGATTTGAACAAAAAAATATCTCCGAAACGGCTGGGCCGATCTCGATCGGACTTTCACTGAAAGGTAGCTGAAATGTACGGGCATATTATAGGCTACTTTTTTTAAATTCCGCGCTGTCAAAATGGCGTCCGGACCCCTATCTCTGGAATGGGTGGACCGATTTGGCCGAGACTTTGACTGAAAGATAGCTGCTAGAAGGTAGATGCACGCGGGAATGTTATAGAAGACCATTTTTTTTTAAATTTCACGCTAATTAAGTTTGCGGGCGACAGTTCGTCGTAAAATAAATTATCTTTTTAGGTTTAACTGCTGAACGTATATCGATGAAATTTGGTAGATATTGAAGATAATTTGGGAGAACACATAAGCTACTTACTTTTGTTTTTTTAATTCTTATTATTTAAAATTAATATAGTTCTTCATTTAATTGTTTAATCGAATGACTGCAATCAGTGATGGGTTTGTTTTATTTGTTTGTGTAAGTTAATAGTTGTAAAGTATAATTATGTTAGCTTTAGATAATTGAAGTATTGAATGGATCGGGTCTATTGTTACTCGTTACTAATGTTCTACTGTAATATTGTAATGAAGAAAACAATGAAGTTAAACGTATATATTACTAGCGTCAGCCCGCTATTCCGTCCGCGTGGAATTAAAAAACAAAAGTATGTAGGTATGTTGTTCCGAAATATGTTTTATATTTATGCCAAACTTCATTAAGATTCGTTTAGTAGTTTATGCTACTAACTTTAATAAACATCCATCCATTCAAACTTTCGCATTTATACTAGTAAGATTATTTTTCTTTACGAGATGTAGCTATTGTTATTGGCTTTTCCAGAGACAATCCTTTGATATAAGCAGCTTAATTTTTAAACTATTGTCTTATTAGCTTTTTCCGCCGACATCGTGGCAAAATTACAAAAAAACCTAGTTAGTGGCATACTTTCTGTTAAGCTGTTTTATAGATATGTCGTAACAATCATCCATACAACCAAACTTTCGCAATAATATTAGTATGCGTAATTTCGACTTCATCTGTCTCAAATGTTAAAATTCTAGTTGAATTATGGCCGGTTTCCCAGCGACGTTTAACTATTTGTTAGTGTTTTTGGTACGATAACTTCGTGAAATGCATTTCCGAACTACGTCAGATCAGTTTCACTCCGTTGCAACTTAAGCCAACTTAACATTGAGTCACTAGTTAATCTATACTTCTGTACTATTATAATAAAGCGTAAACACACACTTCTTTGTTGTCTAAGATGTCAGCAATTACAGCTTATTTTTGAAGAATTCTTTTTTTAATAAAAAGCTCTACACTTACGTCACGCTTTAGGCTATATATTTTTACGCCATTAAACCTAGGGGGTAAATATTTTAGATAAAAACCCTAATGTGGAAAAGAGACCATAAGTTGCTGCCAACATCAAGGAAGCAAGATTGCTAAGATTTATTGTCATGTCATTTTAACATTTGCTATTGATAATTTGACAAACGTAAACAATGATATAAAATTTTAATAATTTCATGCGGATGAAGCCGCATGGAAACAGCTAGTGATGAATAAATGGAAACTTCAGAAAGCATTAGTGATCTAGGCTAGTGACATTTCGATGTTATTTTAGTCACCACATACCGATCAAATACGAATTTGCATAGATAAATTTTGTGATGCTTTATCTAAATTGCATAAAAAGATAACATTTAAATATTTTTAATAGCTACTATTTTTATAACCAACGAATATTTTAAATTAAATGAACATGAGATTTACCTACAGTTGGATAAATAATTTTTTTTAAACATTATTTGGCGCCAAAATGTGACAATAAAATATGATCTTACTAACCTTACTATTATAAATGCGAAAGTTTAGATGATGGATGTTTGTTAGAGTTTGTAGCCTAAACAACTGAACAGATCTGGATGAAATTTGGCATAGATGTAGAGCATAGTCTGGGAGTATACAGGCTACTTGCTGTTGTTTTTTTTAAATTCCAAGCGGACAGAGTCGCTGGCAAAAGCCAGTTTACCAAGATGTTCGGGAAGTATGATATAAAATTTAAACAGAATAAGAATTTAGAATGGTTGTAAATAATAAATATTTATTAGAAATATATTTAGATTTGTCTATTATTTACCTGACTGGTCCCATGCCTTCGTAAAATTGATATTCAGCCTTATCTGTGGATATTATAGTCCAACAAGCACCATCGTTGATCATTTCCTTATTTGGCTCTTTGGGGCACGGTGTTGCTTGGAACTGGATTATTCTCTCCTGGGATAAGCAGAGATACATCCGCTCTGTGTCTTTCATGTAGAATGCACATTTGTGTAGTTGGGAGACCGGGTCATCTGCTTCTAATAATGCCATTTGCTTGTCCACCTAATTAACAATTAATTCTTTTTTTAATAATGTTTTAAATGAGCAAGTACCCATCAGAATTCACAAAGAAAGAGAATCTACTGTTGCCTATAGACTTCTATAAATGCAGATGCATTGCCTACCTTTATTCAACAGAGGAGATACACATAAAGAGGATATTTCCTGTTCCTGTGTCTCCACAAACATCCATGTCCCCTTCCCATCCTTATTTAGGCTATCTAGCAATTTTAATAATAATCAATTATTTTATTTTTTTTATTATTTGTAATATTTACCTTTCGAATTATAAGCCTAGGTAATGCCATCCCTGTTACAGAACAGACAAGTTTCACAGTAGATCCATAGTGGACGTAACCATCTCTTACTGCAAACTCTTCAGACTCACTTTCATTATCATCCAGCAAGTGTATTGTGAATGCACCCCACTGTGTAGATGATGCATGGAAGTTACCATTCTCCACATGCAGGTATCTAGTCGACACTGTTTGTGATCTCAGTCTATTGAATAGAGCAACCTTTGTTCCGCTAGCTATACACAAGTCTGCATTCTTTAAAGATTGCTTTTTCTTTGATGGTTTCGAAATAACTTTTATCCTTTTACTATTAAAAATGCCTATATCATGTCCATTACCATAAAACATTTTAACAGATAGCATAAAGTGTTTCCGTTTGTCTGAATCCGATATGTACAAAGTTTTAGCTGCACAGTACTGCTTTCCATTATTCAGGTCCAACTGCTGCATATCCTGGTCAGAGTTACCAATACCAATAAAAGCACAGAGTTGTGACGCTTGCTCGGTCTCGCCCTCGCGCAGCATGCGCTCGCGTCGCAGCCGCCAACCATCGCCAAAAAGGTAAATACAGGGAGGTGGACAAAAGAACCTTTTTTCGTTTCCGTAAGATTTTTGGGCCACTTTAGCGTGTAATATGACAACAACCATATCGGAACGATCACGCAAGTATCGTTCCATGGCTTCACGGGTAAGTCGGCGCTCCTCGGGGCGGTAGGCGCCGGCGCCAGGACCCGCGGCGCTGGCGTAGCGCGGGTACAGCGCGCCGTGCTGCGGCGGCGGGGACGGCGGGCCCTGCGCCATCCCACCCGCGCCCGCGCCGTACTGGTGCGGCATGCTGGCCACCTTTGCTCTGCTCTCACCTCCCTCCACACAGCATCATCGATCGATCCGGAATCTGGCCGCACATGATGCTGACCTCGAAGCTCAGACTTAAACCCTTGATTCGAATATCACCGCGGGAGATTTCCCATATTACCAGCAGAAATTGTTAATATCCTGTCAGACCAGTGGCGACTCTTATCAAGCGTAAACACTTACAACGCGCTGTTGACACTGTATCTCACTTTCTTAACTACTGTTAACTTTTCGATCGATACACTTTTGTGTTATTCACGGCACCATAAATAAATAATTACGATGGGAACTTTAACACACTTCATTCAAAAACACCTGTTCGATGGTAGAAATTTCAGACAGTCTAGCCAACATACCACAGTTTACTATTTATTAATACTACAAATAGACCTAATTTAAGATCTAATAAGTTCTGAGTAGATGATATTCCGTGTATATTCGTTATTAAAAGTTGATAAAACTTGTGTTTATTTCGTTTTGATACGACAACGCTTTTATAAGGATCTGTCAAGAAGAACCATAGACACTGAAACAAGCGTGTTGTCGATTACACGCGCGCGAATAAAATCGAGCGATGCGAGTTCGGCTGCGGCGCGACTGACAGCTCGGCAGACAGACGGTCGGTCATAGGATGTGGGGTTACGCATGGGGCGTGAGAAAATAAAGTGTGGGAAAGAGTGGGCGTCGCGGCGTAGTAAAACATTTGATATTGTATGTAGTGAACGGAACACTTACGAATGCGCCAGTAGCAGGCGGCATTTCGATTTGTTTTTGTGTGCGTCATAAATATACGTCGAGTTCACAGAGCGAAAAGGTTGCGATGTGTGAGGAAGAGACCGACGATTGACCGAAGATCTCGTGGGAAACGACCTTTGTTATGTACATCGATATGTACATTAGTTAAAACAAAAAAAATCTGGTCTGGAATTTAATCTCACACGCGATGGGAGTCACTGGACTGTGGAGACTTATAGAGCCCGCAGGCAAACCGGTCCCCGTGGAGACTTTGGAGAACAAAGTGCTCGCAGTCGGTATGATTAACTTCACACTTCGTCTGTCAAGTTAATCGGAATCTTATTTGATAACAAGAAGTATTCTTTTTTACCAGATATATCAATATGGTTGCATCAGATGGTCAAAGGATACCAAGATGCAAAAGGAGCTCCTGTGGCAAACGCCCACCTTATGGGATTATTTCAACGTCTTTGCAAATTACTATACTTTAGAATAAAACCAGTATTTGTCTTTGACGGTGGATACCCTGATTTAAAAAAAGAAACAATTGTAAGTTTATTTTATTCAAAATAGTAAAACTACCCTACCTATTCTAAAAGATAATTAAAACAACTATTAAAGTTATTTTTAATTTTTTTCTTCATCAAGGTTAAAAATCCAGCATGACTATTAGTCAGATATCATGATTTCACAATAATTTACAATTAGTTAAAAGAACATTTTTCTGAAGATTTTTCCTAATTATAATTGTTTGGCCATCTTGAATCTAATATTTTATGTTAATCTACAATATGAAGCAAGTTTTTGTTTTAACAAAACTGAATTAAACTTGCTATAATCTGTATAAATAACTTTCAGGCTAAAAGACAAGATCATAAATCTAAACTTAATTCTGAATCAGAAAGATTAAAAAGAGAGCTAGCACTATTACTTGGGAAACGGACAGCTATTGGTAGTTTATTGGGAAAGCAGATATCTCCGAAGAAAGGCACCACTACAACAGAGGTTGATAGAGATGACATATTTAAATTGCCAGCGTTGCCACAAAAAGAAGAAACTGAGTCAGAGTATGTAAATAGTTAACTACATCTTGATTACTAAAGAAAGAGACTTAAATCCCACTACATAGTTAATCTGTTCGGTTAAAACTGAATTATGTAGTAGACTTTTCACTACATATTGTAAAATATATCCTTTTTGTCTAGGTCTGAAGATGAACAAGATTCTAGTGCATCCACAGTTGACCTACACACTGTTGATGTGGAGTCTGATAACTTCAAAAACATGCCTGCCAAAGAAAAGTATGATTTACTTGTTGAATTAAAAGAAACAAGAAAGATGAATTCATGGGGAAAGCTACATACACTGCCAAAGAAAAGTGATCAATTCTCAGATTTTCAAGTTGGTAACAACATTTTTATAAATATCAATAAAAGAAAGAACACTCAAAATTTACTTTTTATTTTAAATTACAGATGGAAAGATTACTCAAACGTAGAAAAATACAAGAATGTTTGGAAGAAACAGAAAAAGAAATGGGAGATGACACAATGTCTATAAATGAGCTTGAATCTTTGTTAAATGATGAAGGTATTGATACGAAAATTGAAGAACTACCTACTCGCAGAATCGCCTCTAATAATACTACAAGGTACTTACTCATTAATAATGTAAAACAAGCATTAGCAGATGCAAAAAAGAAAAAAGAACTACTCAGTAAAAAAGAAGAAGAGAAAACTACTCCTGAAGAGGAAACTAGTGTAAAACCTAAAACAGAAGATGAAGAACTGGAAATGGCAATAAAAATGTCAATGGAATGTGTAGAAGATGCTAATACAACTGCCAATACTTCTAAAACAGATGATTCTTGGACCTCAAATCTGTCAGATTCAGAATGTTCATATTCTTATTCAGAAGATGAAGGTGAGGGTGAAGATATTGAACAGCCAGATATGTCCTCTGCCAAGGCATATATTGCACAATATAGTGACTTTACCTACAAAGCCATTGATAATATTGTAACATACAAAAGTAGTGGCTCCAAAACTAAACCAAAAGTCCCTAAAATAGATGAAATAATCAAGGAACTTGAAAATGAAAAATCGATTATAGTAGACAAAGTTGATTTGTCATCAGATGAAGATAATAAAATCCATAGTATTGAGTTCAAAGTACCAGAACCATGTCCATTGGAAATTGAAAAGAACATGATAGCTGATGGTATAAATGATACACAGCAATCAGTTATTGCTGTTGAAAACCAATCTATTGGTGTAATAAATTTGGACACAAGCACTGAAGAGGAAAAAACAGAATTAAAGAATACTGTATCTGATTCTCTTGAGACAACTGTTCAAAGCGAATTATCAGATTCTAGTGACAATGAGTTTGAAGAAGTGCTAGAAGAAAATAAATCAAACAAGCCAATTGTTGAGCTCACTCTCAACATGGGGGAAGTTCCGGATGATGATATTTTCGCTGACGTTTTTGAGGACAGAAAACAAGAAAACATCAAAGAAAATCAAGAAAGTAAACAGCAACCAACAATCTTGAATACTAATACTGATTTGTATGAAATTAAAGTGAAAGAAGATCCTGATGTCGAAATTTATAAAATAGATGAAGATAGAGAAATATCCGATATTCCAAAAATAGACAAATCAACTACGGAGGAAGAAGGCTCTGATGCCCAAGAACAAAAAGATATTGTTACATCCTTAGAAGAAAACAATCAGGCTGTAATTAATAAGCCATCAAAACAATTAACTACTGAAGATTTAAATTCAATGATGACTGAGATTCAAAGCAAAGAGGATCAATTGTTACAAGAAAAAGGAAAAATGGATCGAATTGGTCGAAATATAACAGAGGAAATGACAAAAGATGCACAAGAGTTGCTTCAAATTTTTGGTATCCCTTACATAGTTGCTCCAATGGAGGCAGAGGCACAATGTGCATTTCTTGAACATGTTAAACTAACAGATGGGACCATAACTGATGATAGTGATATTTGGTTATTCGGTGGAAAGACGGTTTATAAGAATTTCTTTAATCATAAGAAGCATGTCATGCAGTTTCTTTCAGAAAGAATAGAGAGGTCATTTAGTAAGTGCTATTATCAGTATGGTTTTAAAGCTTAGCGTTGTGCTTATGGATTAAGGTTTTGTGACTTGGTTTTGGGTAATATTTGAGAATGAAGCTTCATTTGTTATTGTATATTGAGTAATTTGGTCATCAGTGATGTCATCATGATTCAAATAACCAATTATAAACCGGTTTTGCGACCTTTTTCTCTATGGAAACATAAAGGCAAGATCATATTTTAAAATTTTGGGTTAATGTATTTCTTCTCTTTCCAAATTAAATGAAATATATATTGACTAAAGCTACTCTATTTGGCTTCCATTCTTTATAGTGTAGATGTTTCTTAATTTGGAACTTGTTGGTTTTGATTACAAGGCTGTAAATAATTTACCGATTTTACTTTTTCAGATTTATCTCGAGAACAGTTAATATTATTTGCACTGCTAGTTGGTAGTGATTACACAATGGGTGTGTCTGGTATCGGCCCAGTAACTGCTCTAGAAATCCTGGCTTCCTTTCCATTTAGCAAGAGAAAATTCCTCGATGAGTCTTCCAAACAAGCGCAGTACTTCCAAATAATAGCTGGTCTGCAGGAGTTCAAGAAATGGGTGCGAGCAGGAAAGAGAACGGATAATATTAAACTAAAGAAAAAGATAAAAAATGTTCAATTAACAGATGATTTCCCAAGTATGAGGGTAAGTATTTCTGAGGTTTTTTTTTGTAATTTCATAGTATCTATGATTATAAATTGATTAAAATATGTTAAATCTTAATTGAAAAGTTTAAAAATATTGTAATATCTTTTCGCAGGTAGTTCAAGCATACTTAGAGCCTAATGTTGAGAAAAGTGATGAAAAATTTACATGGGGAAATATCGACATTACTATCTTAAGAGATTATACTAAAACGAAATTCGGTTGGTCACAGAACAAACTGGATGAAATCATAAAGCCCGTATTAAGCAGAATAAACGAGCGCAGAGCACAAAGATCGGTGCAAGATTATTTTAAGACAAATATAGGTATTCAGTCACTCGAGGATAAAATGAGTAAAAGAGTTAAAGCCGCGGTACAAATGATGGACCCGGAATATAAAGAACAAGTAAATGAAGATACCGCATCTATTACTGACGAAAAAAAGATAAAAAGAAAAGCAAAAGGTAAAATGGTTAATGATCTTTCAGAACCATCGACAAGTAAAAAGAAAAAAGCTGAGAATACCGCAGTAACTACAGTTATCAATATTAATCAAGGTAATTGTCAAGGCTTCGAAGTCATCATTCCTAAAACCGATAGATTCCAAGAGATAATACCTCAGAGAGAACAAGACAAACAGATTATTTTACAGAATAAGTTAAAAGCGATAGAAATATTCAGAAAAACTAAACTTGACAGAAAAGTTAAACGCACGAAAAGGAACGTAATCAAACCAAAGGCAGAAGCAGAGCTGTCAGAAAGCAGTGATGAGTGATAAAAAATAAATGTGATATTTCTTTAATAAAATTCCAATTTAAAATATTAATTTTATTGTTTACATAACCGTTTATCTAAGCATTTTTAAATGTATATAGCTAATTTAGTTTATGTAAATTAAAATTTGCTTATCATCACACGAATAGCATTATGAAAATAAAATTAATCAACTTAAGTTTATAAATTAAAAAAGTCCTGGTCCAAGTGATGCAAAGAGTTGTCAGCCTAATACTGTACATAGATAAATTGTACACAGTTAAATGCAGTTAGTAATGGCTTTACATTCATAAATGCTATCACTTGTACTGGGACTTAATTAGGGATGATCGATGTCAAAAAAAAATCATTTATTAAACGATATTTCGATTTTTGTATCCGAAAAAATAAAGAAAAACAGTATAATTTTATATCATAAATTGGTTAAAATCACTCATTATTTACATTTTTAATACTCAATTTATCAACACTTGGTTTAAGATAAACATTTTTTTTATATTATATGGTGGCAAACGAGCAAGCGTCCACCTGAATCCGCCAAAATGGCCGAGTGACCGCTGTCCATAGACATTCGCAATAGCGGATGCGTTGCCTACCCTTAATCGACGGAGGAGGAAACGCACATAAAGAGGATATTTCCCCTTCCTATGCGTCTCGTCCAGCTTCAAGTCCACGTTTCCTTCCCATCCTTTCCTTATAAGAAAAAGGGCGGAAATGAAAAGAGACTAAAGTTGGGCCTCCATTTTACATTTCTGTATAGAAAATGAATCACTGGGAATATTTAGGTTTCCAGTGTAGAAACACTTCTACAAAGACATAGTAATTTTTTTTTTAAATTCAGATGAACATTTTGCACGTTTTTTGACAGTAATTTACATTACAAAGCTTTTACTTAAATCAAAGATTCGTGCCAGCACGATTTTTTCTGCACAAGTGCCACAGTATTTACAAAAAAAGTCCAATTATAATTTTAACACATATTTTTTAAATAATTCATCTTAAAAGTATTAGGGTTGCTTGAGAACTGTTTTTTTAAAAATAAAGGTACATGAACTTCATATAACTTCCGTGGGTTTCAAACTGCAATAAACTAAGGAGATTATGTAATACATAAAAACATCGATAATCCCTAATAATTACATAATAAAAGCCATACATTTAATTTAACATAACATTTGCATTGATATGATTGTTGTTGCTCAAAGTTATAGTCGTTCCTATTTAACATTTTAAAATTTGAAGTATCGACTATACATAGAAATGTAAAATCCACATACATTTAGATTAGACGAAAAATATTTTTATATAAAAAAACTTAAATATTGCAATAGGACGTTATAATAGTGAAATACAAAAGACTTATTCATATAATAAATAAAACATACCTTTTATCGCCTAAACATTTCGTTTTCTAGTTAGTCTAGCGTATAAAGGTACAAGGCGTAATAATTCATTATTACATAAATAAGCCCTGTACATATATTTTATTAAAGAAACAAGTTCCACGTGTAATATAAGGGCGTGTTCACACTAGTTTTAGCCGCCAAAGGTAAGTGTATCATAGATATTTTTTTTAATAAACATGTTCACACGGACGCTATCTTCGTAGCGTTGTTAATAAATTGTAATTAAGGCGGAAAAATACAAGCCAGTAAAATGGGGTAGTACCTGACATGCCAGCTGCTGGGACGCGCCGGCTTATGCAATGTGTACATGCGTAAATAAAAGTCTTATGAACCGATATTTGTCAGTGTCAAACTTCGTACCCCCATCAAACACTCCAACTTACATAAGTAGCACAAAATCAAACATACTAGGTATTATGTCAGTGTTCATATATGCGTTTACCTAGGATGCCAGTGAACCAGCAACTGGCATGTGTATGCCCGGCCTAGACGTTTATATTAGAGCTGCCAATCGGCGGCTGATGCGGTGTGAACACGGCCTATTGCAGTTGGCCAGTAGCGCCATTATGCCAGTGATTTTGACTCCTACTGGCCTACTTTACTAACAATGTAAAAGTCCACAACACCTAATAAACACTCATAGTTCATTATCCTAACATCGGTCATTAGAAAGATCTTTTACTGCAATAAGCTCTCCGTCTACCGAATACACCAAGACAAAGATTCAATAAAACCTTATTTACAATGACTAAAAGCTGAAACGAAAAAGTCAAACGGGCACCTAGTGATTTTTACATTGAAGGTTGTTCTCACAACAAAACCACAAACAAAAACAAAGTCTGGAATTCACAAACACTTTAATCAACTTTAACAACGCTATAGATCTTCCTGACAAACCAGAAGCAGGCCATGAATCCGATGGTGCCGGTGAGGAGGAAGAACAGGAACACCATGATAAAGGTGTACCCGAAGTAGAGGAAGGTGGAGGCGGCATCTTCGATGTTGAGCTTGGTGACGAAGTAGTGGCAGCAGTAGACGAAGAGGTAGCCGGCGGTGGAGCCCGAGCTGAGGAAGGCGCGCCACCACCAGTGGTAGTCTTCAGCGCAGAGGTGGAAGTAGCACAGCAGGATGGTCGTCTCCGAGCACGTGATCACCAGGATCACGAACACCAGGAACAGGAAGCCGAACATGTAGTACATCTGCAGAGAAAATCTTAGATGAGAACCAGACATTTAAGAAATATGTAGTATAAAATTTTTTCACTGGTAACTTCTTTGAAAGGTATTATGTTGTCAAGATTAGCCTCACCTCATGTTCTTATATTAACAAGTAATAAAAATATTTTATAAAATTATAATACGCAAAATAAACAATTAATTTCAATACAATTAATAACATATAGCCATATAATAATAGATAGCGTTAGTCCTCACTAAAATCATGTGAAAAATTCTCAAGTGAAGAGTCAACTATGCTTCCCTTATATATTTTAAATCTTTTATGAAACCCGATCTCAAGACGCGACACAAGACATTTCGTTACACGAAAGAGATGAAACATATCACTCGAGCAAAACAAAAGAGACAGAGCTATACAATACGACAGATTACTTCAAGGTCATTACTGTCGCTTTCTTTAGGTAGAGAGAGACGAGTGCAAGGTAATATGGCGTTGTATATGTTAGAGGGGGACGGAGTGTTACCTGGCTGGACCAGAGCGAGTTGAGGATGAAGAAGAGCTGTATGAAGATGCAGCCGAAGGGCAGCACGCCGCCCATCACGACGCCGGGCACGGGCTGCGTGTACAGCGACTGCTCCGGGATCTGCCGCGGGATCTGGTTCGTGCGCACCGGGTGCTCCAGGATCTATACAAACAAATAATATATATATAATAGAAAATAAAAAAAACCACTTTAAATCATACTAATATCATAAATATGAAAGTTTAGATGGATGGATGTTAGAGTATGTAACCTAAACTGCTGATATCTCGATGAAATTTGACATAGACCAGTCTGGAAGATCACATAGGCGACTTGCTTTTGTTATCTTTCTAATTTCACGCGAACGGAGTCGTGGGCAAATGCTAGTATCTATACAGTGAACAAAATAGTTTCCCGGCTACATCTACATGACATTATAGGATTTTTATTTATTGATTACTTTGTCATTGGCTAAGTAACCATGGCAACAATGCTCCTTTACTGCATAGCTTGTACTTTTAATCCCATTTTCGCATGATATATTTTTAAAATTTATTCACACCCTACAATAAACGTGAAAATATATAGCCAATAGCGTGCCTAAGTCCTATTTAGAATATAGTAGGAACATACCCTCTTCCTAAATCCAAAGTATGCTCCGATGAATGTAAGTGGTACAGAGACACCGAACCAGAGCGCAAGCAGCGCCACCAGCGTGCTGAAGGGCACCGCCGCAGACGAGCCCTTGCCCCACAGCACCAGGTTCATTATGAAGAACAGCGAGAACACCACACTGGAAATTATCCAAACAAAACACAACTCAATAGCCGCAACATATTCTATCAAAGGAAACAAATTATTAAACAACAATAATATTTTTTAAAGAAATAGGCCGCTAATGTTAATTATTTCATTATTTTCCTATTCATAGATAAACTATTTATCTACTTCCTGCCATGAAAAGTACATTTTTATTACATGATAATGACAAATACATGGTTTACATAGACAAAACCATAAAGACACCATCGTAAAAACTTAATATTTCAATGTTTACATATCAATGCATATTATATGTTGATCAAAGGTAGGCAACGCATCTTCTAGCGATATTTACGAATATCTACTAGCGAGTGCGTCGCTATTTTAGCGAATTCAGGTCACTAGTTCCTTTGTTATTTAATGTACAGTAAAATAAATATTCCTACTAACCCGGGACACACCATCGAAGTGAGCAGTATATTGCTCTTCCACCGTCTACCACCAAAGCTCTTGTAGATCCTGGCGCTGACGTAGCCGGCCGCAGCCCCCAGCAACACCCAGGCCACCAGCGCACACGTCATCAGGGCCCCTCGGTTAGCCGGAGACAGGAAACCGAGGCAGGCAAAGGCCAAGGTCACTAATGTCATACCAAACACCTAGAAATACCACAGATTAAAACCTAGATTTATTCCTTGACACTTTACAGCGTTTATGAAAATGTTATAAAAAATATTTACCGACGAACAAACAAAATTATATACAGTAGAACCTCGATAACTTAAAAACCTCTATAACTTAAAGTATTTTGTGTTTCCCTTGGACTTTAACTTATTGAGGTGCTACTGTATTAAAGAAATGCTTATAGTAGTTTGATAATAATTTAAAATAAAGTATGTATATTATTCTTAACTGTAACAATCGTTCAGTGACGAAACCACCAATGGCGTTGTATGTAATAAGAGGTTAAAGGCATTCTATAATCTTATAGCATTTGGAACTGACACTTTCTATTTGATAAAGAAATTGTACCTGTGCTCCAGAACCGAGGAAAACAGCAAGAAGCATTCCACGACGAGGTGGTCTGAACACATCTCCGTGCACCAATTTCCAACCAAATTCCTCCTACAAATTAAATAATAAATCTTCATACAAATTTAGACAATTATGAAGTACCCTAGATCATTGAGTTATAAATAAGCTTTCTAATAGTGGAAGCTTTCTAATAAGAAGTTTTCAAATCGGTTCACTTTTTAAGTTACAAGACTAGCAATTCCTTTTTTTAGGTAATTTAATTGTGAGTTGTATTACCTGTGCATCTTCACCACATTCCATTTGATTATATCTTGCTATATCTTTATGTAAAGTTCTCAACAATATCATAGCAACCATTCCGCTCAGAAACAGAACAATAACTAAAGAGTTAAGTATTGAAAACCACTGGATATTAGTTTGTGGCATCGACTCCAATATATAATCCCATCTCGATGACCATTTTATTGTATTGTTTTTAATAAATTTGACACTGTAAGAGTATGTGATACTGAATTTGTCATCTTTTAGTAGAGTGTGGGGTATTTCGAGAAGGTTTCGGTTGTTGCAATCCAGATGGTCAGGGTTCGCATGATTTATACTTGCAGGTTTCACCTGAGACACAAAATAAAACCTTAATAACCTTAAAATTAGGCTTTGTTAAGTGATTAAAAGCATAACTAACTAGCCATTGCTTGTGACTTTGTCCTTGTAAAAAAAAATTAAAAAGTAGCCAACATTACACACTAAAAACATAGATTTTTCTTCTTGAAATAAAGTTTAAAATTGGAGCAGTAGTTTTCAAGTTATTTCAACACATACAAAAATACAGATCTTTACAATATAAGTATAGATAAATTGATGTTTTTTAAATATAATTGCTTTACACTGACCAATTGGATCTTTAGCTGACTCCACTGATTGACTCTTTTAGTGAACTCAATGGCATTAGATAAAGAATGTTATAAAATGGTAATCTGACGCTATAATAAAATAATTTATGGTTAGTTTAACACATTGTTTTACCTTGGCAGAAATAATACGTCCTTCATTATCACCAAATCCGACACCCCATTCTTCCTCTTTACCACTGTGATATGTTATCTCCAAGTCCACATGATTGAACAGATAGTATGCGCCAGCTTTGTTTGGTATATTGTTAACTATTGGTGTACATGTGTCCTGAAAATAAATTATGTAAATATATTCATAATACACAATAGTAATTTGTTATCCTTCATTCATAAACTGATGTCATAACTCATTTGGCTTTGTAATAGAGTAACATTGTACCGTAAAATCACAATAAAGCTAACAAGAGTTTAGTTAGATAAATATATTTATTTCATATAATGGCCTTATTGTGGATAAAATATTATTGCAAAACTAAAACATCCTTGAACTACAGAAACAGATAAAAGCTAATAAGCTTTGAAATATCAAATATGTATGCTAAACAGAGATCAGATAGCATACCATTTTACAATTATGTTACAATTAAAATCGCTTGCTTAAAACCAGTCAAATTTGTATCAAAGGAGTTTGCTTGGTTTTAGGAATGTGTAATATTTTTGTTTATAAAATACAATTACAGTCAAACCTAGAGGAGCGAGAACTAGATAAGCAAGAAACCTTTACAAGTAATTTTCAAGTCCAGTTGTCAAAGCTTCACTAGTGAGAAACATGGATTACAAACCACTTTAAGTAAAAAATAATACACTCTCTCAGACTCATACTTATCCAAGTTAAAAGTTGTCATAAGTCTTACCATGTCACTGCGTATCTGACAACCCATCGGGAAGCCTGTGCTACAGTAGACTTTGCCATCTTCATTAACCAGATAACACCATGTCACCGGCATATTATCCAAGATCCAGTGATGTTGGTAATATAAAGCCATTCCCATTTTCAACAAGTTCAATTTCTTAATTGAATCCGGATCGGAGGCTCTGTAAGACTTCGTACACACTGCCTGACATTCAACATTCTCTAGGAATTTTAGTCTGTATGGACTCGGCCTTATTCTTTCACCAAATACAACCTGCCCAAGGTTCTCAACAGGTGATTGTGTCTCATCAGACAAACAGAAATCAAAATGATGATACTCAAATGGTATGACAGATTCTTCTGTGTTCAACCTATTCACAAATAGGGGGATCTCATTCTGAAAACAAATATTTTAAATCAAACCCCACATCTCATAATTATTTTAATCTGTGTGTATTATAAATTATGTACAAATTACTGTTTACGAAATATGAAAAATCTGGAGGTGTAATTGTGTTTCACGTACACATAGCAATTGGTTATTGCACTTAAATAGTTATAGTTATCAATTAATCTTATCAACAGTACACGGTTTTTAATTTGCTATAGCGGTAACTATGCGTGTTTCACACATTTTATACGACTGACAGTTACACCAAACAAAGAGGGTGTTAATATTCTTACTTACTTTACATGACTTCCCTGTATCTTCACCAGCTTTGCAATAGTTTACTGGCGCTAAGCCGGGTAAATAAAATGCATGGATAGGTGTCAAAAACAGAAATGCGCAAAGCACATACGACAGGAGAGCCATGACGTTATTGCTTGATAAATTCCACAGAAATTACTAGTACCCAGCTATCATAAACGATACACATAAAAATATGAATTCCACATAATCCTTCGGTACCGCTACACAAAACTTGGAGGAAATCTTTCACGCTTTTAACAAATTTTAGTTTCCATCAAAATCGCACTTGGATCGAAAACGTCACCAACAAACATAGACTAAAAATATATTTTTCCTTTGAGTCAGTATTTTTCATTTTTTTTTCGCCTGGTAACATTTACTAAAAAGAATGGAAATATTTAAGAAATAATGATACCATAAAAATAAGAATAATTTTATAAGAATTCGACCTGTAAACGTAACGCAATATCTGAAAACTAGGAAAATACTCCAGATCGATACTTCTTTTATGAATGTTACATTAATTTCAAACATAAATTGTATCAAACATAAAATATACTATAGTGGAATAAATGCTAAGTCGAGGCTTAGACATGGCCCAAAACATTTAATTATAATGTAGACTTTATCATCCATAACCATAAGAATTCTTAGATGAGAAAGTTAAAAGTGATCTTTCCATTTTGAGGTCATCATCATCATCGCCCTTACCTTATCCTACTCCCGTAGGGTCGGCGCACTGAGTTTTCGTCGTCGTAACCTTTTTGAGGAGGGATGAAGGCTATAATCGTAATTTAAAATGTTAGGGTAAATAAAAGGAACAAATAAAAAACACTACTTTATTACATATTTACACAACCGTCATGCGATTATATACATACAGACACGGATCTTAAAATAAAAGTAGCCTATAAGAGTTAACAACTATGAAAATTAAATGCGAATTTATAACTAATTTGTGGGTAGATGACGAAGCATTTGCGAGTTTTTTTCATCGACCAACGCAGCTGTATCCTTGTCGAGTTCCACGCCGCGTACGAAGGCCGATATGAGGCCTAGGGCTGCAGGAGGCTGGTCAGTAGGCACCATATGACCGGCACCACGGACCATCACTTCAGTTAAGTTGCCGGCTCTTTTGTAATACCTGTATGTAATTAACAAAAATTAATATCTTTTAGTGGCAGCACCATGCAGTTAACATTTTATTTAATAGCTTTTTTATAATTAATTATGTCTAGTAATTAATTATTAACGAATATCTATCTTAAATTATTATGACGTTTTCATTTATAAGTATTCAATAAAAATCAATTACCCCGCAACTCTCCCGTCGTGATACCAGGGCATTCTCTTGGCCGCTTTGAATTCCGCAGTACCGGAGAATGAGAGAGCGTTGTACGTATTTACCGACGGATGGTACGCGACAATGATGTCCAAATGACCGCTACAACAAATGAAACATGTTATATTGCAAACAGGACGTTATACTTAACAATCGATTTTTTATTCCAAAGGAGGCAGATTAAGCAAGCCTAATCTCACCACCGTAACTGTACATAAGAATTTTATAAGCTTACTTGTATATCATAACCCTATAGTTCTCCAGTAGTTCTTCCAGCCAATTTTTCGCGCTGCCCATAAAGTCGGGCACGAGCTTTTTATAGACAACGCCGATCGACGTGAAGTTGGTGTTGCCAACATGCAGCGCGCGCCGCACGTCGTCCCGCTGGATGAAGTCCACGTAACTACCCTCCAAGCTTATGTCGTCTTGCAGGTAGTTGTACAAGTTGCTCAGTCGTGACTCCGAGATGAACAGTTGAAGCAGATAATTGTAATACTGAAAGCATCAACAATATAATTACAAATAATACAAAACATCATAACAATTAAAACAAATACACTTCGTATTTTCGAGATGAAATATAAATGCACCTCAAAATAATGCCTATTTACTTGTGATTAAAAGCACTTTAGGCACTGGTTTATGCTCATTCTTGTCTAAAATATTTTGATCCATCTCCTGCTGTAATTCATAACGTCTTACCGCGTAAGCTTTAAGCATCTCTCCGTTGTTAATAAACTGTATAACAGCGGTCTCGAGGTGGTTCATTGCGTCGGCCGCCTTGTCGTCCAGCAGACCCACTTCGCGCACAAAGTGGCTGTAGCGCTGCAGAGTCAGCGGGTCGATGAAACCGTTACCTATCGCTAAACTCTGCACATAAGTTAAAAAAACATATTAGACATATAATTAATTTTAGTCTTACAGCACTCTTCGCCACATAGGTTGTCAGATATTAGGGGCGTGAGAGGCTTGGGAAGTCCAAATAATATTAACAATACCTAAAGAGTCTGACATCTGTGAGATTTACACTTCACTCTCTTTTCATGCAATCTCTACCTCAATCAATTTCATCTTTAGACTTACTTGTAGATTAACAGGTTCATGCTCCTCCCGATGCCAGAGGATCTGCACCGCGAGGGAGGGTATGTGTTTCCCCGCGTACGACTCCCCTGCCAGCGTTAAAGGTGCCTTCCTCAGCTCAGGGAATAGCGTCAGGAACTGTTGTAACGCTGCGTACAGATTCTCGCCGATCTTAATGATTTGAAGAAAAATAGAGAAGGTCGTTATTGAACTTTTGACAGCCCTTAGCATTATTATATGATTTGCTGAGAAAAGATAGAAAATTTCATTCCATTCTCAATCTTCTTGATATATAAGATATATTTTATAGATAAGATATTATTTACTTTGTATGAAACGAGCAGTTACCGTTGTCTGGTTAGTAGAATATCCACGGTCGTCGTCAGTAAAGCTGAAACCGGTGCCAACTGGGTTGTCGATGAACAGCAGCGAGTGATTCTTGCCCCAAGAATATTTCATCTCTACAAAACAATATTTTATTATTCATAAGTAGTTTCAGAAGATATTAAGTTAAAAGAGAAAGATTTGTCTTACAGCATACCTTCTAAATTACTATTTTCAGTGACACGGAAGGGCCCAATCTCAGTAAAGAGGCCGTAGAGGGACGACGCGCCGGGACCTCCCTGCAGCCAGAGGATCAAAGGAGTATCTGCAACGGGCTTGTCCGCCACAGGGAAATACCAGAACCAAAGGTTCGAGTTGTACTCCTTGTTAACCTGGGAAAAGTGACATAGATAGTACCAGGAAAGGGTCGGGAATAAAAGAATTATCCAGTGCACTGTGCCAACTTAAGCGGAACTACCCGCATTCAATTCGATTTATCTTATTGGTAAATTGCTGTTAATTTCCACTGAAAATAAATTACAATCTTCTTAAAAACATTTGAGATGTTCACGTGTTCAAAACAATAATTGAATTTGTAACATAATTATTCTTCGACTTTTCCATGGATAACTGATTACTAGGGATAATATTATGCAGTGGTCTCCCGTTGCCTTCTGCATTAGACTTTTAAGAAGTTATAAGTCGAAGAATAGAATGGCCCCGAGTTCCTGGCGTCCCTTAAATGGGACAGGGGTGCGAAGAATCCCAGAAAATAATTATGGATAGATAACATAATTAAAAAACTAGGTTAACTAAATGTCAACCACTCTAGAACTCGTATGAAAGCTTTATGGGCAACAATTTTCTCGGGACGATTTCTTTGAAGTAAAGCCCTGAGATGCGTCTCATTAGCAATTTCTCACGCTATACTCGGACTAGTATACGAGCAAGGAAATAATTGAGGTTACAACATATGAAATTAAATCTGTCGTCTTTACAATTTTATTTTAATTAATGATCTAGCGTTCTTTATAAGTTTGCTTAGGTTAAGTTTATTGTAATAACAAGAATACTTCAAAATATAATTGCAAACGAATGGCGATTCTCATTACTCGTAAAGAGTTACGCAGAAAAAATCAATTCTAATATAATGACGACTCTTATCAAATACATTATAATTTAGGAATCCTTCAGAAATCTTACCAACAATAGATTTTTCATATCTTTATATTTTACCTTAGACTCGAAACAAATGCATCTTAGTTTTTTTCGTAACTCTAAAGAACATTTTATTTAATAGTCCTTGTAAGAACGTAAGTATAAGAGACATGGGTAATTGATGGTTATTACGTAAAGAGGCAGCATTTCGCTTGCAGGTAGGAAATTGCACCGCAGTCCCACGATCTGTCGAGGTCGCGAGCGTAAGGCGCCGACATGTGTGCCCCCAATGCGTCGACAGGCGCCGGCGGCGCAAGCGCATCCAAATCAACTAACTATACTGTTTTATAATGTTCAATTTACGATACATTTGTTAATAAATCTCTTTAGATATAGATTATATTAGTTATTAAATAATTAATAGGACTTCAATGATCCTCAAACTCCTGTATTAAAACTTACAAAAGGTTGCAATGCACTTTCTTTACACTCTTTGTGAGTATAATTAAAAACTAGCTGTTGCTCGCCACTTCGTCTGCGTGAAATTAAAAATAATAATAAAAATATATAGCCTCTTTTACTCACTGACAATGTAGCATTTAATGGTAAATTTAGTAGTTTTTGAGTTATTTCAATACATACCAAAATACAAATCTCTCCTCTTTATAATATTAGTATAGATTATTTAATTACTCACAGTTAAATATCCGGCGTAGCTCTCCATATCGGGTAGAGTGTGCCCTGGGTCCACGAAAGCGGCTTTCCTCGCTTCCTCCAGTTTCTTCTCTTCAATAAACGGCGTGAGGAGTAAGGGTTCCCCTGCGTCGTATCCCGCTCGTACTCGTCCGCTGTGGTATGTCTTCTCCATGAAGGTCAGAATGGGCTCCGGCGCCTCCCCAGGAGGTAACTCCGGTAATAAATAATGCTCCGTGCATATTATTAATTGAGCGATCCTTTAAAAAATAAACAAAAAATTAAAAAGGTATTATGTGGCTATTGGTGACTGGTTGGTGAGATTTTTAATAAGTTTAAAAGAAAGTTTTTATCTTTTTCTTTTTTATGTGAACTAAAATTAAAAATTCTTCCAAAAACAATGATAAAAACTTTAGAAAATTTTAAATAATTGTCAGACTCGTCCTTTACTATTTACCAGATTAAAAAATGCAAAAGCATTTAATTTCCACGCACCATACAACTTATCAACATTGAATTTAGTTCAAAAACTGGTATTTGATAAAGCCATTGGAGAAAGATAAAAAAAACTTACGATAATAAAATGGTCCAGCGCGGTATCATCTTCGAGCGATGTGTCCGGAGCCTGGGTACAACCACAGAGATCTGCCGCAGCGGAATGGGTAGTACTAGCGGCTGAAACCTTGTATACCCCCGCGGCCCGCCTGTACTTGCCACTTGAACTTGGATTTATCTCTATCTTATATACAGGATGTCCGGTTTTACTTGTTTACTACTCGATTACGTTAATATTTTAATGATGCGTAATTGATACGTCGAATAAAATAGAATTTTCACGATAATAAGAGTGTTTTTATTTGTTAAGCAATTTTTAATAATATTATATGTGATGTTTTTAATTTAATATTAGTGATCTTTGGGTCTCGTCCAGATTACGGCACATCTGATATCCGTCTTGAATTGATATTGAAGATTAATACTGTTTGTAAACAAAACTTGATATTTTTTTTATATAATTTGTACATAGTTAGAAGTTACATAGAGTTTAATGAACTCTTGGAATTCATCATGAAACATAAATAACTCAAATGAGTTAATTAATGAAATATGGAATTAATAAATACATCTTATGCTACTCATTTATAACGTAGCTTTCTAATGGTGAAAGAATTTTCGAAATCGGTTGGATAGTTTTAGAGTTATTTCAATACATACAAAACTACAAGTCTTTCCTCTTTATAAATTTGTATAGATTAAATTGTTTTTTATGTTTATAAATTATATTTGAATCAAATAAAATAAGTGAAGGTATATATTTATTTAATACAAACTTAAATTTATCATTAGCTGAAGCGTCCGTAATATAATCTACATGAAAAAATAATAAAATATCTTCTCGTCTTACGGCCGTTTGGATAATTGCATCAACCTGTATAGTGCCGGAGAACAGGTATGGGGTACCAATGACCTGTTTAGCATAAACGCGCTCCCACGCTCCCCACATTCGCGATAGATTCTTGCACGCTCTTAAAATGTGATTTGCTCTATATTTAGGATGTGTAGTAAAACAAACATCGACGGGACATCGCCGCGACGTGCACGCGGTCGCCAATGCGGCATTACGACGACCGCCGATACAATAGCGCACCGTAATTATAATTTCCCACGCTCCGGGTTTTTTTCGGAGCGTAAAATTGACATTCAAAGCTCGCTCGAAGCTCCGAAACCCGATGATCCATTTAAGACGTGAATTGGAAATTTTCCTATAAAAACTCCGCGTATAAATTGTATACCGATTTATAAATTTGTATTTATGTAGTTATTTTTTTTAAATGTGTTAAGTTTTCATCATCCACTTGCCCTTATCCCTTATCGGTCGGCACAGTATGTGCTGCTCTTCTATACATCTCTATCAGCTGTCATATCTGAATCCACTCCTTTCTTAAGCATATCCTCTTTCACACAATCCATCCATACGTAGTACTTTCTTCGGTCTTCCTCTTCCTTTGTAGCCATCCACATTCAATCTTAACACTTTCTGGTTTATGTCCCCATCATTTCTTCGCATAACATGTCCATACCACGCTAACCTTTTGCTAAGCAAAAGGTTAAAATGTGTAAAGTTTTATTATGCTTATAATGTTATTTTGGTGTTTAATTATTAGTGTGTTAAGCTATTGCCGCACTTAGTGTTATTCTTTGAGTTATTCTTATTCTTCTTCTTCTTAAGGTGCCTCTCCGACTGGCGAAGGTTGGCGGTCAGTTCTCCAAAAATAGTGTTAGTCCTACAAAATTGTAAATTGTCTGATAACAATCGAACGTGTAAAATATGCGATATAAATGTCGGATTTTGTTTCTTTATCTAACGTGACGACATTTTTAAGATATCTGAGCCTCTAGCTAGTGGTGGCCCTTATAGTTTTAAATTATTATAGATTTTGCTTAAGGGAGACCCTTAGTGTACATTTTTCATGCAATATCTACAGTATACTGCTGTTTTTTTTTTTATAAAATAAGGTGCCAAACGAGCAAGCGGACACTTGAATCCGCCAAAATGGCGAAGCGACCACTGCCCATAGACATCCGCAATTGCAGATGCGTTGCCTACCCTTATCCGACGGAGGAGGAGACGCACATCAAGACGATATTTCCTCTTCCTATGTATCTCCTCTACCGTCAAATCCACTTCCCGTTCCCATCCTCTCCTTGTAAGAAAAGGGTGGTAAAGAGAAAGAGACTTAAATTAGGCCTCCGGCACCACACTCATCAGACGAAACACGGAATGGCTTCCATTTCACGCCTGTCTTCTGTGTGGTCGTGGTATTACACCGGGCGTGCCGGCCCATTCGTGCTAAGATGTTAAAGCGGGCACTACCACTGTTTTTAATAATTATAATTTAATGCTGTATACTAAAGTAATCAAAAAAATAGTGCGGTAGTAACTTTGTGTTCTGAAGATTACATATTGTGATCCAACCAGAAATAACGTTTTACACGTTTATTATTTTCTTATTAATCTAAACATTATTTTAGTGTAAATATAAATGATACTTTGTCAGACATATCATCCGTTACATCCGCTCTTATCGGGTGAATCATGATGGCTGAAATATGAAAACACTTATAATTTGGTTTTATCTATACTAATGTTATAAAGAGGAAAGATTTGTTGTGTATGTATTTTTGAAATAACTCAAAACTACTGGGCCAATTTAAAAAAAAAACACCATTAAAATGCTTCATATCAGTGGCTATGTTTTTCACATTTTTTTTTATTTCACGAGGTCGAAGTCTTAGTAATTTATTTTCACGTTTCTCTCCTTTTTACAAGAAAAAAAAATTAAACAAACGATAAAATTGTTACATTTTAATTTTAATTGCCTGTCACCTAACTTTATCAATGTTATAAATGTGTCGTATGTTTTGATTGATTTTAGTTACAAGGTATTTCCTAAACTGCTGAATGGATCTCCATTAAATTTGGCACAGATATAGACATAGTTTGGCTGTAGGCTCCTTAATAATTACTTTTTGTTATTTTAGAAACCGTATGCATTGTGAGGAGGTTCCTGTCTCAGCAGTCCTGATCACTGGTTGCTTGAGTCATGTGATTCCGCAGCCGGTGGTGCTCTATTTTTTACATAATATGTTCTATGTTCATTTTTATATTCATATAAATCATCTAAAATTTATTATGTAGTAAATAAACGAATAAAGATATATGGGTTATCATGTTTTTTTGTAATTCCAAGCGTACGGAGTCGCAATTTTATGCGGATGAAGTCGCATGGGAACAGCTAGTACAGTATACAGCCGTGTTACCCTGCAATCATCCGAGCGGCCTTGGCGTACGTGAATCGTTTACTTACGATATCTAAGTTGTTCTAAGCATACTTATTTGGTGAGAACTTCCCACAGGCTAGTACTACGCATTAATTTGTAAATACTCTAATAATGATGTACACATTTACAATTCAAATAATGCGTTTTATTACTACGAATATTGACATTTTATCTTTAATGGACATTTTAATGGTTATAATATAATTAATAAGAACATCCATCGTAAAAAGTAGCACCCAAATTATATTTATTAGTTATACTAATTATTAGTATTAAATAAATACTAATGGACCTGCGCGAGCTAGAGTCGATCGGCTGGCAGGCGACGACGCAGGACAGACGACGCTGGCGCTCTCTCATGTCGGAGGCCAAGACCCACTACGAGTCGCTGCGCCAACGCAGTAAGTAAGTAATTATATTAATTGGTCTTTTTATATTAAAAAGTAAAAAAACAGTCGTCGAACTACATAAAAAAATACCTTAAGATATAGCGCACATCTGGAACAAAACTATCGCAGAACTGTTTAGTCTCGATATGATTCCTATAAGCTTATATGGCGGTGCGCGCACTACTCCATTCTTAACAGTACAATTCTATAGTTGAATTGACTGCGAATTGACAATCACACATCGTTGTGCAATAGTTTAATCAAATGTGTGCGGCCGCTCTTGTCAGGACCAAACTAATAATAATCTACCCTATGTAGACTGTTACTCGCTTATTCTTTACATTTGTAAATTGTAAAGTTTATTTCTGTATTGTTTATCTATATCATAAAGAGGAGGAAAGACTTGTGTTTATGTATTTTTTTTTCGCAATATTATGGGACAAAAGAGCGGCGAGAAAACCGAGGTGGTTAACGACGCCCATAGACATCTGCAACACCAAAGGAACTACATTATGCGTTGCCAGCCTTAGAAGAAATGGTAGGCATTTTTGTATAAAATGAATTAACTCAAAAACTACGGGGCCGATTTTAAAAATTCTTTCACCGTTAAATAGGTAATTTTTCTGTGAGTAACATTTTTTTAATTTCACGCGTACGAAGTCACGAGAAACAGCTGTACAAAAAAATAGTAGAATATCGTATGTTATCATGAATTCCTCGCAGACGCGTTGTTCTCTTGATAAATCTATCTGAAATCAGATCGGCATTAGTGTTTCGTATCATGTACTCAACTGTCTACTTATTGTCAGCACCAACCATGCGGTGACTTCTTAATTAAAGTTTTTTTTCAATACATAAATAACAGATCGTATTCCATAAAATCTAAAATAAATATCACATTATTGAAAACATAATCTTTATTATTAACTAGCTTTCGCCCGCGATTTCGTCCGCGTGGAGAAAAAAAAACAAATTCAAGTAGCCTATGTGTTCTTACAGACAATCCTCTACGTCTATACCAAATTTTATCGAAATTCGTTCAGCCGTTTAGGCTACAAATTCTAACAAACATTCATCGATCTAAACTTTCGCATTATGTATGATGAAATGTAATTAACACATTATATTATAAACGAGCTGTTGCCCGCGACTTCGTCCGCGTGGTATTAGAATACATACGAACTATATAAATTACAAAAAGCTACGTATCCCTCGGGAACCGGACATTTACCTGGGATGAAGCTTATCTCATGTGTACTCCAGACTTTGTTTTATATATGTGCCAAATTTCAATAAGATATGTTGAACCGTTGCAGAATGATCGAGTAAACGTTAAAAAACTAAATTAATGAATCCCACGGGAACCGTAACTATTCCCGGGATAAAAAGTTGCCTATGTGTTCTTCCAGACTGTGTTCTAAACCTGTGCCAAATTTCATGGAGATCCGTTCAGCCGTTTAGTCTATAAACGCTAACAAACATCCATCCATCCATCCTTCCATTCATCTAAACTATCGCATTTATAATATTAGTAAGACTAGTAAGATTAGTAAGAAGTAAGATTATCAGTTTATTCTAGTCTGAAATTAATATTCAATTTAGCTTAATAAAAGTGAATTTTAAGGTAAACGATTTTGTATTCTTGTAATATTCGAAATTCTAACCTATTTAAGAACTAACTTTAGTTTCTTTTACACCTTGGGAACATAATTGTATATATTTCAGTAATTGGTTCTAATTTTGTTCGTGCTCTGTTGTTTTTAAAAAAAAACTCAAATTATGTAAGTACTTATAAAATTTGGGATTTACGTCAATAAAAGTTGTATTTTATCAATTCAGTTTATTTATCATATAAATAATTAACATACAATAGTTGTTAATAAAAATTATTTTTAAATAGTATATATGATGTTACAATAGGAATACAAAAGTCATACAATCTTTAGTTAAGCTTAAGTAATAAACTCTTGTGGATTAAGTTGACCGAATAATAAAAGCGTTAAATAAACTACTTAGAGAAAATCTATACTTAATAATATATAGGAAAGATTTATATATTTGTATGTAATAAATAAACTCAAAAACTACTGGTCCGATTGCAATAATTCTTTTACCATTAGAAAGCTGCATTACCATTAAATATCTAATATAAAAAAAAATCTTAAGATCAAAGGGTTTACAAGTATCTATTACTACGATTTTTTTTATTAAACTCTACGAGAAACAAATCACGTGCAAAAGCTTGTTTAGTAGTATTGAAAATGCAGTGTATTCTTTTGCTTAAATGCATTTTAAATTTTAATCCTCAATTTAAAATCTTGCTGTCATATAAACATTAGATATGTCACATAACATTTGGTTTATTCTTGTTCGATAAGTTCATTACGTAATTAGTTTTTTTTTTTGCATATTGATTAAAAAGTGCCGCCAAAAAGAGGTGTATGAGAGAATTCCTCGCCCCTTCTCCAATAAGCGAATAAAGCCAGAGCAAGAAAACCCAAAACAAAAACAACGTTTACAAAAACGCTAACAATAAAACCGGTTCTAAAATCGGTCCTGGTCAAATCTGGTACGACATTTTGGTTATCCGGTACGGTATACTCTGGAGTATTCGCTGGATCCACCTGATAGTTCGGTGGCATCGGCAGATCCAGTCCCCTGATGAAGTACGACACTAGCTGCTGCACCTGCTGTGGTTTGTCAATAGGTGCAAAATGACCTGCATCCAGAAGGAGAACTTCTGTAAATCCACCTCCACTTTTAACGAATCTGTAAATTAAACCAAAAAAACAATGCATCGTCATCTAGCCTTAAATACAATACCCAGAATTTCTAGACTAGAAGTAAATTGGAATTGTAAATTCATGACCTTATTATAGTTGAAATGCAATTTTATCATTTACTCCTAGAAGAGTCAGCTTATAGTGATGTAATTTACCCGGCGTGCGACTCGTTATGCCACCAGGGCGTGCGCGGCGCGTGCAGGAACTGGTCTCGGCCCCGCCAGCGCCAGATAATACGTCTGCGCTCAGCCGCCGCCGCGCATGGCGTAGTCAGACCCAACTGACTGCTGTTGAAAAACTAAATTTATTTTTTAATTCTAGCTAATCTTCCAATTCAAAGACAAACTTCTTACCAAAATATCAGGACCCTATAACGTTCCAAAACATTGTTCATAACAGGCGACATTAAAGTCAAGAAATCATCGTAGAGCGCCGCGTGCACCCACATGTTGGTGAATACAAACTTCGTGTCACCGACGTGCAGCGCCGCGCGAACTTTCTCTAACGCGACATATTCCATAAAATCCTTCAAATGGTCGTAATTCTCGAATACACTAGACGAGATGACTTGTAACTTTTTAAACAATTGCGTGTGAAGCTGGAACGAAATTTCACTTAAATCTTAAATTCTAGGAGCTTCAAAGATAGACATTAATTGTGTAGTTAATTAAATTTTACAGATACCTGAGCAGCAGCACTGGAATTACCATCTCGTACCGCCTGCGTGAACTGTTCCTGCAGAGGAGTGACGGCGATCACGCCCTGTCTATCCAACAGTCCCATGTTGTAGAACATCGTTGTAAAATCTGTCAGCCCTTCTCTATCCAAGACAGGATTACTCATAATTAAACCCTGCAGTAACATTACACAGAAATATTAAATGCCATTGAATGATTAATTAAACAATATTGAGTCAAGACATACCTGCAAGTTGAAAGGCGCCTTTCCGTAAGTACTATCGTCCATCTCCTGGATAGCTTTATTTGCCAAGGCCGGTATGTAGTGTCCGGCGTAGGACTCGCCCGCTACATACAGCTCACTCGATCTCAGCTCAGGGAACAGCAGCACCAGCTGCCGTACTGCAGAGTACAGCTGGGTGGAGTACTGCAAATGAGGTGGCTGTTGGACTATCAACGCGCTCATCAGTTCTGTAACTATTTAGTGTCATCCATTGAAAATATTGGACCCTTACGAAATCCCTTTTAGTTCTTCTCGCACTTAGATTCTTGGGGATCCTTTGAGCCCCGTATGTGGTCTTAATTCGATCTTAGTACTTAAATGCAGATTAAAAACTTACCATATCCATGTTGGTTGCTAACCCGTCAATTTGTTTGCTGTGGCTAAACCCTGTGCCCACGGGATTGTCGATGAACACCATAGAATACTCTGGCCACCATGAAAATTTGCGCACTGCAAGAAACATTACATTTTGAGATAAGGTTGTAGAGTAATTCAGACTTATTTAGCAAAGAAAATGTTATTAAATACTGTTGGCAACTGACTTTTTAAGCCTGACCCTTTCTTGTATTCAAACGGTCCGACTTCGTCGAAAACTCCAGCAAGACTGGTGGTTCCAGGCCCTCCTTGCAGCCAAATAATCCAAGGCGTTTTGTCAAGTGGCTTATCAGGAACGGGGAAATACCAGAAGAACATATTCGATTTGTATACTTTGTTAACCGTGAGGAATCCTGAATAACTAGTCACATTAAGAAACAGTAATGGGTCAACACTGGCAAGCTTTCTCGCATCATCGATTTTATTTTCTTCAATGAAAGGTGTAAGAATTAAAGGAGGTGATGCTGAATGTACGAATCCTGTACATTTTATACTGTAATAAAAAGTACATAATTAAATAAACCTGATGAATACAAAGAACACACGCATGAAGTGTATACGTTTCGTTTGCTGAGTATGCTGGACCCATTATTCATATTTTTACCCTTAACTGTTAAAGACTCAAGAAGAGCATTTATAAGGGACGAACGATCGTTGCAATTAACCTCATTGTAATACTCATATTATGCTACGCCCCTCGATATTATTTCATTGGGGTCAACACTTTAATCTTTATTGCGACCATATATGAAACTATATTTTTCTTTTACCATCGCTATCGTGTAGAGCTGATAAACAAATCAATCAAATAAAAACATCAATAACATTTTCTAAAAACCTCAAAACCCCTATTCTATAAATAGTGAAAATTTTAATACGTAAATACCTTTCACATTTTACATTCGTATTGACCTATAAGTTTTACTAATAGAGTATTTTTACGAAGATTAATGAAATAGTAAATATCTTGACTATTTATTTGTACAATAACACGTAAACAATAGAACCTGCCTTAATACGATGTGTGTTGAGGTAGGTTAAATATTACATTCAAATCTCTTATTTCCTCATAAGTTCACTTACCTTAAAATAAACAATAACTTAAAAACAAGTTTCATTGTAAACAATACAAAGAATTCGTTAGTAAACAATTACGTTTCGATTACGTTACAAACTATTGACAAATAATTAACTTCGTAAGGGAAGGAAAATGGACAGAGCTAATAAAAATTTACAAAATGGCAGGCACCCAGTGTAAACATAACATAAAAAACTACCAAACAAAGGATAATAACGCAACATATTTTAACAATCTAAAAAATCATTAACAAAAAACAGTTACATTTTAATGTGTACAAAAAATAATCCAATATTAAAGACTATCTGAAAGTTTTCTACCAAATAAAAGAAAGATTTATCTGGCAACACATGACTCGCGTTACAGCGGGTCTATTTTTAGACCAGACTTTCATTCCCAGTACTTATCCTACGCTATCGTAAACAGAATGGCCAACATTGATAGTTCCAATTTTATCTCGTATACTTACTTTTTACATGTAGAATACTCACTGGTTTCTTCATATCTTATTAATAAAATAAATCTTGCTAACATTATAAATGCGAAAGTTTAGATAGATGGATGTTTGTTAGAGTTTGTAGCCGTTTAGGCTGAACGGATCTGGATGGAATTTTGCATAGATGTAGAGTATAGTCTGGAAGAACGCATAGGCTACTAACTTTCTTACTTTTCCACGCGAACGGAGTAGCGGCACGGAGTAAGCAATAAGGGGCACGGAGTCTACCCTAATAAGGGGTGACTAGGCCTTACTTAATTTTATGTTCATACTTATCTCGCTATAAGATATAATCCGGTCCAAGAGACATTTTGAAAAACCCATTGAAAAAAAATTTACATTAGGGCAAATACTCAACAAACAAAATTGATGTGGCCCGGGGTATTTACACGATGAAGTTTAGCCCTCAACATGTCAGATTGCCCATACCTGCTGTAAAACGACACAATTAATATGTTAGGCACAGATGTACATAGTCTGGAATAAAACATAGGCTTCTTACTGTTTTATATTCTAACTAGTTTTCGCCCCAGAAAAAAAAAACAATAGCAAGTAGCCTACGTGTTCTTCCAAACTATCTTCTACATCTATGACAAATTTCATCGAAATCCGTTCAGCCGTTTAGACTACAAACTCTAACAAACATCCATCCATCCATCCATCTATCCATCTAAACTTTCACATTTATAATATTAGTATGATTTCGCGCAGACGGATTCTGGGGCATAAACAAGTTATCAATAAAAGATTGGTTAACAAAATGATAAAAAATATTTTTATTTCATTTTGTACAGTTTATATCAATTCGTAAATTGTAATTCAAACTTTAGAAAGGATAGGTATGTAATAAAATTGAAATTATAAGTAAATTTTATTTTTATAAATTTTATAAAATATACAATAATTTACATTCAAGTATTCTTATAGACAAAGATAGGCAGGATGTGATATTATGCATTTGAAGACGGTATATTTCGTTACATTTTTAACACCTTGATATATGTAACAGAAATTAAATACTAGATTCAATTTGTACTGTAGAGAAATAATTATGGTTTGTTAAGTGACCACAAAAGTGGATTTTTTAAACAGTAATATTTTTTTTATAAAACATACAAATAGATAACTTTATTCAAAATACAAATGGTAACTGTTTATATTTTTTCCTTTATTTTTTTTTCCTTGAAAAAAAATTGATATCGTAAATTTTTGTCATATAAATCAAGCTTTTTTCTCTTCTCTTTTTGGGCCCCGCTAATTTACCGCAATTAAAAAAAACAGTAAAAGTTAGACTTTATGTTTCATTTGAAAAAAATCCAAAAAAAAAACTGAGTACGTTGGCAAAAAAAAACAATTTTTTATTTTTTTCAGTTTTTAAAGCAATTTTTTGATATTTTTGAGATACCCAAACTGAAAAATGCCCTCACAAATAGTTTTATTTATGTTGTTACATAGATAAAAACATTTTAAATAGTCAAGTCATAGACAGTATACCATCTGAGAGTGGTGAGTAGAAGAAGTCCTCGTTCCTCCTCCTCCAACGCAGAGCCAACACCACCAGCACAAGTAGACCTATCGCTAGTAGAACATTCAAACTGATACTGACTATCAAACCGGTTTTAAAACCAGTACCAGTTTCTGGTACACTTTCCTGGTCCGGTTCGGTATACTCTGGAGTATTCGCTGGATCCACCTGATAGTTCGGTGGCATCGGCAGATCCAGTCCCCTGATGAAGTACGAGACTAGCTGCTGCACCTGCTCCGGTTTGTCGACAGGTGCTAGATGACCAGCACCTTGGATTAATGCTTCTGTAAAACCTCCTCCGCTTTTAATGTACCTGTAAATTATATACAAAGGTTGTTTTTACTGTCTTCTAATAACGTATACGAAAAAAACCTAACAGGGATCCTAGGATGACTCCCCTAGACTTAGCTTTGATCGGTTGGCGACGTCATGTCTCCTTTGTTCGTGGGCTCAAGACACTTCTACGAAATGGAGAGTCTTTAAACCATGATATTTCGATGGTGATGTTTAAGGTTGCGATGGTGAGGATTTGAATGAATATTAGCGATACATTTACTATCAGGAACTTATGCGTTAAACAAGGATAAGTATATCTGTAGAGATCAGTGGCTAGAGGTCATGTCAGGTCACTAGGAGGTGAGTTATGCAGTTACAATATTGTATAACTAGCTGTTGCTCGCGAATTCGTCCGCAGAAATTAAAAAGATATAGCCTATGTTACTCACAGATAAATTACCTTTCTAACGGTGAAAGAATTTTTAAAAATGCCCCAGTAGTTTTTGAGTTATTTGAATACATACAAAAATACAAATCTTCTTTATAATTTAAGTATATACATAGTAAGATGGCGATGGTATTTACCCGGCATGAGACTCGTTGTACCACCAGGGCGTTCGCGGCGCGTGCAGCCACAGCTCGCGGCCGCGCCAGCGCCAGTGCTGGCGCCGCCACGCCGCCGCCGGCGCGCACGGCACTGTCAGGTCCAACTGGCCACTGGAATCGTGTCACCACCATTCACATCGACATTTACTTGGAAAAACATGATATTGTTCACTATATCAGCACATTCTAAATTTTTGACAAACTTGATGAAGATCCGCACAGCCGTTTGGATACCTTTTAACATAAAATTTATTAAAAAAAAAACCTCCAAATACAAAAACTTCAATTATAATTAAATTAGCGCGTATCATTATTCGACTACATTACCACATAACTACATGGGATCGTGGCAAGCGCAATTTAAACATCAAAAAAAACTTACGCGATAATACGAGTTAAATTGCTTACCAATAAATGAGGACTCTGCAATGATCCAACACAGAAGTGACAATCGGCGACATAGTACTTAAGAAATCCTCTACAATATAAGTATGAACAGAGGCGTTGCTGAACGTGAACCTTATTGTACCAACATGCAGCGCCTCGCGGACATTCTCCAAGGCTATATATTGAGCGAAATCCTCCAAATTTTGATAACTCTTCAATACGTTATACGTGTCAGGCTTGAATGCAATCTGTTGCAACTTATCTAGCAACTGATTGCGAAGCTGTGAAATGTCAATATTAAAATAAAACACTTTTCTTCTTCTCTATACATATAATAAAATTGCAGTGTCTGTAATATCAAAAAAAAATCCAGATTTCGGGAAGATGATGTGTTGCTGATAACGAAAATCGCATTTAAAATTTTTATGTCTGTCTGTCTGTCCGTAAGTTCCGCGTTTGTTCCGGGTAATCCACGAAACAGCTGAGCCGGTTTCAACAGGACTTTCACTGGAGGGTAGCTTGGATAGGCATATTATAGGCTACTTATTCTTTTAATTCCGCGCTGTCAAAATGGCGTAACGGATGGTCCTAATTTGCGCTAACGAAGTTTGCGAGAGACAGCTCCTATATACTAATATTATAAAGAGGCAAGATTTGTATTTTTATATGTATTGGGATAACTCAAAAACTACTACACTGATTTTAAAAATTCTTTCACCATCAAAAAGCTTTGTTATCAGTAAATAATATAAGCTGTGTTATTATATATTTTTTAATTAAATGTGGACGAAAATACATGTATACCTCAACGGCGGCGCTGGAATTTCCTTTTTGAACGGCCTTTGTAAACTGTTCCTGAAGGGAGGCGACAGCTATAACACCCTGCCGGTCGATGAGACCCCAGTGGTAGAACACAGATGTAAAGTTTGATACTCCCTCGCGGTCCAGTAATGGGTTACCCATGATTAAACCCTGCAGCGTTGACACTTATCAAAACCTACTACTACTACCTACAGTGGTAGTGCCCGCTTTAACATCTTCGCACGAATGGGCCGGCTCGCCCGGTGTAATACCACGACCACAAAGAAAACAAGCACGAAGTGGAAGCAATTCCGTGTTTCGTTTGATGAGTGTGGTGCCGGAGGCCTTATTTTAGTCCCTTACCCTTTCCACCATTTTCTTAAGAGGAAAGGATGGGAAGTAAAAGTGGATTTCACGGTGGAGCAGATGTAGAGAAAGGGGAAATATCCTCTTTATGTGCGTCTCCTCCTCCATCAACTATGGGTTGGCAACGCATCTTCAATTGCGGATATTTATGGGCAGCGGTGGCTTTCCATTTCGGTGGATTGAGGTGGCCGCTTGCTCGTTTGCCACCTTATATTATATAAAAAAAACTATTATCCCTACTGTAATCACAGTGTGTACTCCTCTTTCATACGTCTCTATAAGCCATCATATCCGAATTCACTCCCATGTTACGTAACCTCTTTCACACAATTCATCCATCCAGTCTTTTTGTAGCTTGTCACTAACCTTTAAGTTGTATAATTTTCTTTGGTCAGTCATTTCTTGTAGCGTAGTTTGTGCGAAAGCAGGTATGTAATGTCCGGCGTATGATTCGCCCGCTACATATAACTCGCTCGATTGTAACTCGGGGAATAGTACCACCAGCTGCCGTACTGCTAAATACAATTGGGTAGAGTACTGCAAACGAAGGTATATGATATCAAAACATTCTGAAAGCAACGCGGCTTCACTGATATAAAAGTGTAGGTACCATAGTCATATTTCTTGCGTAACCTTCCGTGCTGTCTGTAAAACTGAATCCAGCGCCTACTGGATTGTCGATAAACACCATTGAATATTCCCGGCACCATGTCCAATCACGTTCTACAATAAATACGGCCAAGGTCATCAAAGTTTAACAGCCCGCTTTAACATCTTTGCACGGATGGGCCGGCTCGCCCGGTGTAATACCACGACCACACAGAAAACAGGCGTAAAGTAGAAGCAATTCCGCGTTTCGTCTGATGAGTGTAGTGCCGGAGGCCTAATTTTAATCCCTTTACCTTTCCAAACTTTCCTTAAGAGGAAAAGATAAGAAGGAACAGTGGATTTGATGGTGGAGGAGACGCATAGGAAGGGGAAATGTCCTCTTTATGTGCGTCTTCTCCACCGTCAATTAGGGTAGGCAACGTATCTGCAATTGCGGATGTTTATGGACAGCGGTCGCTTCCCATTTCGGTGGATTTAGGTGGCCACTTGCTCGTTTGCCACCTATTATAAAAATAAATCAGCATCCCGCATCGCTACATCTTAAATTGTGTTCTGCAACGACTTGCAAAAGCCTCCAAGTAACACGTAAACTATACCCAATAATAGCATTTTTAATATAACAATGCTTGCTTTCAATTATTGTTCTCTTATTTTCATTGTCTTAATTAAATGGACGTAATAACACATTACTATTGTCTTACTCACTTTTTAAACCTAAATCCTTCTTATATTCAAATGGTCCGATTTCGTCAAACACGCCAGCGAGACTAGTCGCGCCAGGGCCTCCTTGCAGCCAAATAATCCAAGGAGTTTTGTCAACTGGCTTATCAGGAACGGGGAAATACCAAAAGAACAGATTTGAGTTGTATCTTTTATTGACCGTAAGGAATCCAGAATAGCTGGTCACGTTCAGAAATAATAAAGGATCGACGCTAGCAAGTTTTCTGGCCTCTTCAGTTCTATTCCCTTCTATAAGAGGGGTAAGAATTAAGGCTGGTGTAACTGATTCTGTTATTTTTATACTGAAATAGGAAAATTATTATCATAACAAGATACCACCATATATAGTAATGATCGTAATTTGTCATAACTAAACTATTGCACTACTGTTGTACGATTTCTCGATTGATTCGCAGTTCCCAGCCTATCGACAGCTTAGTTGCACAGCTAATAATCAATTAGTGTGCGCACCTCCATATTAGCTCATAGGATTACTTTTTGTCCTACTCGAAGGACCATTTCAAAATTTCATCGTGGTTTAGATAGAACGACTAATAATTTTGGATATTAAAAGAACATAATAAACCTCCACTCATCTAATCAACATCATCATCTATCGGCCCTTAACCTATTGGGTAAAATATGATCTTACTATTATAAACAATTATAAATGTGACGTAACAATGACGCAAGACGCACGTTCATTGGAATGCATCATTGCAACATGTTTTTAAGACCTTCGCAGATGCAGACGGAAATAATATCTATTTATATCTCAATAGAGTTTATATTTTCCTGCATACATTTCACCCTTTTGTAGATGTTCAATATGTCAGATCCAAGGAAATTTTTACGTTATGCCTAGTGGTAATATTGGAAATGACATAATTTTTGTGTTAAGTTCTGACACTTTTCTATGTAATGTAATTATTAGTTATAACAATTTATGTCTGTAATTAAGTAATTAAGAAACCGTGTTTTACTAACATTCCTAAATTTAAAAAAATATTTGAAAGTAAATAAAGTAAAAATAAATGCACCTGACAAAAGAAAATAGCAATTTTTCTTTCTGACTCAAACGATAAGGAAAAGTTACTTTGAAAGTTTGTCCTTAATTAACTTGAGTGTTTTATACTGTTTTTGCTAAACACCGAAACTACGAAAAGACAAACTGCAAATGTAGTTTAACGATACCTTTCTTTGTCATTTTACTAAATATTATATCTACATAACCTAAAATTAACTGTACCTTATTAAATGTAATTAATAACACATAAACAATTAATCACCTTTAATGTACGTTTCTTTCAATTTTCATATATTCAATTTAACTTATCGTTTATTACAAAAACAACATCATGTAATAAAAATAAACAATAAGTTTTAAATTATCAAATAAATAAATACTCATTTAAAACAAAAGTTAATTAGCGTTCACATTTAAAATATTGTTCACAAGCGCATAAATTCTAAAATTTACTCACCTTAAAATAAAAGCTAACGTATAAACAAACTTCATCTTAGATAATAGCTGGCTAATTAAACAAAAACAATTAAATAAATTCGTAAACAAAAATAATGATATTAGGCACACATAGACAACTGATAATAAAAGGATCAACTAAAGGAAAACTAAAATAGGTTGGTTATGTTATCATAATTTACGATTGACGTGAGCAATTTGGTGTTTACACATACTTAACCACTTACTACCAAAAGTAGATAACGAAAGGGTCGCCCAAAAAAATCACAACTAATCAGAGAATCATCATTTACAATAATTAACATAAAAAAATATTACTCTTGTTACGTATGACAGATTTTTAAGTACTAATGTCGATTTAAAAATTTACTAAATTAAAATATTTGATAGCTTTTTTGTAATGACAACACCAAACATGAGTCACAGCGCGCAGATCGAATACTGAACACAAGCGCCAACAGCAATAGTACTTTCCATTTTGAGACGACGCACACATTCACAGAATGAACATCGACAACTCGCTTACTATTTAGCATAAAGAAACAGTTATTTATTATCCTTATGTATACGGGGGAAACCATACATAATGTTCCACTTCATATCTTACTAATATTATAAATGCGAAAGTATAAATGGATGGATGATTGTTAGAGTTTGTAGCCTAAACGGCTGAACGGATCTCTTTGTTTGGCATAGACGCAGAGGATAGTCCGGAAAAATACATAGGTCACTTACTCACTTTTATTTTACTTATTTCCACGAAAAAAAAAATGCACTAAGCTTTTTTAAATATTTCATCTACATAGATGTCAAATAAAACAGGTAGGCGATATCAGGCAATTTAAGTTTATTCATTGTTATAATAAATATTGGGTTGAATTAGTAAGATGCGGTAAATACATTCTTCTGCCGGTAGAGACAGAGATAGCAGCTATTCCTCTAGTTTAGTCTGACTGAAAAGTATTCTTTTGGAGAATAGTACATATTCATCGAAATGTATTTGAGCAGATCAATGATCAATCGTAGATATCGAAGCTATTTCCTTTGTAAAAAATGGTCACTTAAAACTACAATCAAACAAAACTATAGATCAAAACCATTATAATTATTTAACAAAAAAAAAACTTGTACTACGTCAGTTAATTGATAATAACATCAAAGGTAAGCTGCAGTATTGTTAGCGATAAACCTGCTTATATATGATCCTTCTAATAGCGGTAAGGATATGCTTAGTTTCTTATTGTGCGTCCATTTCGTGATTAGATCTCGAGCGGGCGCGGGCACATCCATAGGGACCATATGACCTGCCCCTATGAACACTACTTCAGTCAAACCTCCACCCGTTTTATGATATCTGTGAAATAAAACAAAATCCATTAAAGACTTTTCAAGAAAATTCATCTCGTTTTTTCATCGGCATGAATCGAATGAATTCCTTTTATTTTTTTTGTGAATAAACTGATTTCTTTCTTTCTTTATTACAACGTGTGTTATTAAAACATACCCGGCACGTTTGTATTGATACAAATAAGGCAATCTTGTTGCGTTTATAAATTTCTCCGTCTCATTCCATTTCCATGTTCGATAATTCTCCGAAGTGGTGACACACGGCATCATTAGATCTAACTGGCCACTGAAAAAAAATAGAAAAAACAAAATTGTGGTTCATTAAAAATGTATAAAGTTTTTTAACATAAGGTGGGAAATGACTAAGTGATCTGATTTTTATTAAATAGAGATGCGTAATCCATAGTCGCAAAAGCAGATGCGGTGCCTACTTGTATTTGAAACAAGAAGCATAGAAAGAATATTTCCCCTTAATCCCTTAATCATATCATGTCACCATTCAATCCATAAATTATAATTAAATAGATATTACTCGTATAATTATAGTGGCTAAATATAAATAAACAGGTCTTTTGTATTAATACATAAATAAGAGCATATCTTCACACGTGGCCTTGGCCGTGTTTTAAGATAACGTATTCTTTATAACAAGAGGTCGTTAGTTCAAGCATGAAGTTAGCACTTACGTTGTCAATATGTTTTTAATGCTTTTTACGAGTATTATTTATTAATCGAATCGAGGGATGCGTCGCATGTAACAGGAAGGACGTTATAGTTATAAGTGTGGTACCATGGTAGAGGTAGACCTAGAAAGAGATGGATGGATTGTGTGAAAGGTGACATGATCAAGAAAGGAGTGATGACTGAGATGACGGATGATTTGGAGGTCGAAACCCGAATCGCCGACCATAAGGGAGTAGGATAAGGTAAAGGAGATCATAACCAGCTCACTATACGTCCCCACCGAGGGGCTCGGAGCCTACCCTAATATGGGGTGACTAGGCCATAGTCAACCACGCTGGCCAAGTGCGGGTTGGTTGACTTCACACATATCTTTGAATTTCTTCGCCGATATGTGCAGGTTGCATCACGATGTTTTCCTTCACCGTAAGAACGTCGGGTAAATTATGGACATATGAAAATTCGAAAAATCGAAAATCACATTGGTACATGGCGGGATTCGAACCCAAGACCTGTAGATTACAAGTCAAACCACTGAGCCACCGACGCTTTAGGTAGAGGAGATGACTTTTTATTATTATTAAATGTAATTAAATATGGAACTATATGATATAGAAATGCCTTTAAAATAATTATCGATAACAAGAAACAGTTACTCACCAATACGCTAGCACCCTATAATGTTCTAAGAGAGTCTCGAAGTGAGGTTTGCTGCTGCTCAGGAAATCCGGAGCCAGGTTTGAGTTGACAGTCATATTAACAAAGTTGAAATTCAATCTTCGTGTATGTATCGCCTTCTGTACGTCTATTCGATTTAAGAACTTCACGTATTTGCCTACCCCTAATTCGTTCTGCAAGAAGTTATATGCTTGCGACTGATGGCTCATCATTAGAAGAAGAGCGACGAGGTTCATCCATTTCTAGAAAATTTTAAATATAGCATAGTTTATTTATAGTAAAAGTTTGCAACATGGCGGTCGCTAAATAGCAGTCATCGCTGCCCATTGGCATTTGCAATAGTGCAGGTTGAAGAGAGTTATATATTGCTTTTAAACTACGTACTTGTTTAGCTAATGTGCCGTTGTTGGCAGCGACTTGTTCCGCAACAGCTTTCGACATTGGTTTAAGCATTTCCACTTGCTCCTGTTCTATTAAACCGAAGTTATAGAAGGGTCGGACTGTGCGCGGGATAACGGCTGGGTCCACGTACGCATTGCCGATCATCAAACCCTGCAAAGTAACATAACCCGTTTAATTCCAGTCAATTTATTTTGTATCATATCGAGAACGAACAAATCTATTTATTTTGATTAGTATTTGAAGTAGATTAGTCTATTGAAATAGGTAAATGCCTAAGCCAAAACTTTTGTACAATCATAAGACCATTAGCACACAATATACTAGCTGTTTCTTCCGACTTCGCTCCTCTGAAATTAAAAAATAACCTTTGTTACTCACAGATACACTAACTTTCAAACAGTGATAGAACTTTGGTAATCGGCCCAGTAGTTTTTGAGTTATTTAAATATATACAAAAATAAAAACCTCTCCTTTTTACAACATAAGTATGGATTTATTAGGTACTTTCCTGTTTTTCAAGTTCCACATTATCGAGTATTTCATATATTTTACCTTAAGGTTAACACGATGTTCTGGTAAATGTATTCGCTTGTGTATCTCCAGGCCGAGTGTGGGCACATATTTTCCCGCGTACGACTCGCCCGCGATATAGAGCGGTGCTTCCTTCAGCTCCGGGAACAACTGGACGAACTGGTGGAACGCGGTGTACAGCTGACTGGAATACTGTATTACAGGGATTAGTCAGATCACGTCAACAGTACATCGAGTTTAGTGGAATAAACTCTTAACAGGTTAGGATAACTATCATCGTCATGCACTTGCCCTTGTGTTTCTCTTCCATACATCTCTATCAGCGGACAAATCTTAATCCACTCCTTTCTTAAGCATATCCTCTATCACACAATCCATCCATACTTTCTTCGGTCTTCTACCTTTGTAGCCATCCACATTCAATCTTAACACTTTCTGGTTTATGTCGCATAACATGTCCTATCAGGACAAATACACCTATATGCAGTGCAAATTGTTCAATCCAAGAGAGCGTGGATATTTGGAGTTTATAAATAAGCAAGTCCTTTGAAGCAACATTGTATTTCGCTTTAGTAGCTAACATATGACATAAGCAAGTAGATAATAAAGTTTCTAATAGTAAATGTAATATATTTAGACATAATATATTATTTCATTTACAATGGGTTTGAATCTCGAAAGATATATGTATACACTCGTTTCACACAGGTCACCACCAGGTGGCGTTATAGACTGTAGACTATCTGTTATTGATCGCAATTAAAATTTTGATTTTAGCGATACAGGACCTTTACGTCATATTAATACAGTACTTTTTAATTATACCTTGAGAGGCATTGAGATATTGCGACGTTGCAGTTCGTCCTCTCAATTCGCAGTACACATGAAGGCTTCTAATTTAACCATTTCAGATTTCGTGATATCAACCATTTGAAAGAATTGAATCAGACAAAATGATTTGCATGCAGCACCAAGACTTCATTTCCCTTTACAATATTGTTACAATATTTAAAGCTATTTAACAATGGACTTCTAAATACAATTTTATATTCTTTACCGTAGGCATATCTCGAACATATCCGCGTTTGTCATCAGTAAAACTGAATCCAGCCCCTACTGGATTGTCGAAGAACAGCAGAGAGTGGTTCTGCAACCATGTGTACGGGTTACCTGAATAATTAATAATATTCTAAGCGTCTGATCGGTATTAGTGGTACTAAATGTTAGTAAAAATATTTATTAAAATTAAAAGAAAAACGACGGCCAAGATACGTAGAATATACGACGCTGTAATATTTCGATAGTTGCATCTATACGCTGCTACTCGTACATACGTCCAGTTCAAAACTCAAAAATGTGATAACAATTTATTTATTATTCCAATAGCTTACATATGTTAAATAACAATGATTCTTAATTATTTGCAAACAAAAGAAATAACTATTCATTATTTTTACTGAATAGTTAATATTTCCATTGTTAAGCAAACATCAATAAATTGACAAACATTCCCGCCTTAACTGTGTTTTAAGTAACACTAAAAGTAGGATCGAAATAATCATAATTGCATTGTTATCCAATGTTTTGTAAATAATAAATAAAACCATTTACCTCTAATATTTAAAAGAGTAATGCAACAATTTCTACTTACGTTCCAAATTTAATTTAGCATCCATTTTGATGGGTCCTATTTCATCAAAAAGTCCGGTCATACTAGAAGCACCGGGCCCGCCTTGCAACCAAATTATCCACGGCGATTCACATATTGGCTTATCCGCAATCGGGAAGTACCAAAAGAACATGTTAGAATTGTATGTTTTGTTCACAGTTAAGTATCCCGAATAACTCGTGACATTGAGAAACAATTCTGGATTAACGACGCTTGCATTTCTTGCTTCATCTATTCTCCCCTGTTCAATTAATGGCGTCAATATAAGAGGTTCTAAATGTTCTGTTTCATTTGTTTGTGTCACTTTAGATTTTGATTTGAATGTAATATTGTTTTTAGTTTTATTATCTTCTATATCAATATCATTGTACGATACTTTCGTTTTAGTAAGTTTGTTATTTATTTTCGGTAGTCCAGTAGTTGTGTGTTCATAATTATCTATTGTAACTCTTGTTTTTATCGAATCTATGGAATTTAGTATTTCCGAAATCTTTTCCCTGCTTAAAACGACTTTACAGTTGACACTAAAAAGTTAAAAAATGTTTTTAAAGTAACATTATTAATTCTATTTTAGTAGATAAATAACCGTTAGTTTTCACTGCTTGAAAATATGTACGGCAATACATTGTGTTCTCAGATCTTCTAAAGTAAGTGAGAAGGACGAGATTATATTTTGTAGATCAAGCTGACAAACAAAACATACAGCAATAATATCCAACTTATAAAAGAATCTATAGAGATTATCACAAAATACAACCTCTTTGGCTGACAAGTGTGACTACAGCCAAAGAGGTTGCATACTGGCCACCAAGACATTGCACGGTTTACGTATTAAAGAAAATAAAAAAAAAAGATAATAAACAATAGGAAAAAAAGACGCGTACAAAATATGATCGCGATATAGCTATGCAACTTATAAAAATGTAAATTAGTTTTAAATAAAGATGTTTTAGTTAGAAGAAAAGTTTTGTTTTTGCTGTCGCGCTGTCGGTAACAAGTTAAACAGTCATATTTTTGGTTACATTTAATGCACTCACCTCGTTAATAAAGTCCATAACACGCACGTAATTAATATTTGAATTAGATACATTTTAAAATAGATTGCACATATCGCGTAAAACACGTTCCGTTTAGAATTGTACAATAAATGAGAGAGACAAGATAATGTGCACGATTTTCTTGTTATCACTTGAACTGCTTGATCCCAACTTTGTAATGAAACGACACTTTCAAAGATACTTCTATATAAATTTTTAATATACCTAACTAGAATAATTGTTTTGCATTTTTACACCGCATGAATAGAACTCGTTTAAACACAATTCTTAATAACGGATATTTGCAATTCTTAAAATGTTATTGTAAAAATATTATGCGATAAACAGCCGAGTGTTCCGTTAGATTGTGAGAGACGTCTGAATTTCGTTTTTATATTCACTTCCTTATGTGGAGCCCGTTTCCTTTATCTCGGATATGCAAGAACCAATTGTCTTTTTCCTTTTACTAATATTTATTTTTGGTGTCGTATAAGGTGACCATAAAATTACCAAAAACATAGCTTTTAAAACGACGCAAAAATGGGATCTTCAAGTAGCCAAGAAAGGGATACGGTAGGAAGTTGCATATCCGGTTCTTGCTACGGCATCTTGCATACCCTACTTAAGTGTATTAAATACTAGCTTTCGCCCGCGACTCCGTACGCGCGGATTTAAAAAAACAACAAAAGTGCCTATGTGTTCTTCCGGACTATCCTTTATATCTGTACCGAATTTTATCAAAATCGGTTCAGCCGTTAAGGCTACAAACTGTAACAAACATCCATCCATCTAACCATTTTTAATATTAGTATAATTTATGTCTCATATTACAACAAGTAAAACCTTGGTAAATAAATTTAAATTGATGAATACAATTCATTACATAGTATACAATAAAGCTGCTTCCCGTTGTCTGTCTGTCTTTATGTATACTGTGATCTTTAAAACTACAGAACGGATTTTGATGCAATTTTTTATATATAGAGTGATTTACGAGGTATGTTTGTATTTAATGCATGTAGAATATTAAAGAAAAATGCTGATAATTTTATAGGTTTTTAATGTGATGTAAATAAGCACATTTTTGTATCAGCATTAGACCCATGCGAAGCCGAAGCTGGTCGCTAGTAGTTGATAATGAAATGAATTCATTCGGTAATGAAGATTGACCTCTTACCAAAGAGGGATAAAAATAACATATTGTTATCAATATAGCAGTCAAAAAATGTATAAAGAATCAATTTTATTATCTTTGATTGCCTCATATTCGGTGTAGGGCAAGTCATTGACCCAAATGTCCGCTAAAAATTACGATTGTTTGCATTAACATCTATAGCACACAAATACGAAAGCGAACCAAAAACGATGCGATAGTACAATATAGAACACGGAACGCATTTGTTTCAGATTCAAATCACAAATTCGCTTCGTCTCTGGTTCGCTTGGCTGTGTACTACATGCATTAAACAAGTTATCGTTACTTGCCCGTTATTTTTTTTAAACTTGTTTTTTATTTTATTTCGCTCACCTGATACCTTACCATAACAATTGCTCTGAGTTACTTAAAGACGATGGTAGTATCAGATGCCATCTGGATACTAAATTCTAACTGCGTCGATTCCTTCCCTCTTATAATTGTAAACATTTTTCTCTACAGGCTATGTAGTGTGGCTGGACTGATCGCACCTGAGTACATGCGTACTATTTGTGCGGGACTACAAAATCTATTGCCTTTTCATTCTTTTAAGCCATTGTAATTGTTGCTGATACTAAAAGCGTTATAGGTACTACGTAGCTACAAATACCCTTATTCCATTCATATTTTAAATTAAATATTAACACGAAAAAATTGTACTTCGTCAAATTCTGAATTGGGTTCAGGTAATAGTAATTAAAACGCAAACACATTTAATACATTTATTAGAATAAAATCCACTAATATGACATTCAGGAATAAGTTTCTTATAACTACAGCTGCCACCGTGTTAGCCTGATGGCGTGGCCAGATATAAGCAATTTTTTTTATCGCACGGTTTGTGTGGCAGCAAAATACTTAATTGATAAATAGTCGTCACAAAATAACAGGCGCAATGAAAATTATTAAATCCAATTAATTGGTACATTTTAATAGTTTTATAATCGAAAAGACTGACAATCGATATAAATTAAAATCAATTTTAAACATTGTATGTAAAATGATGTTATTTTTTTAAACACATAACCCATAAATAAATAAGCGTAATGTTTGTGTACAATCTACTTACTACAAGCATTTTCTAAACATTAATTTGGAAATTATTTTAATAATCTTATTCAATAATTACTAAAGACTTTAGTCTTTCCTACGTGATACATGACTACTAAAGAAGTTGACAGAATTTAAACACCGATATTACATACAGGTTCTGCCCGCGACTCCGTCCGCACGGATTTAAAAGGAGACTTCGTCGCCTTTGAGGTCTCCCAGACTGTGTTCTACATCTGTGTCAAACTTCATCAGGTCCGTTCAGCCGTTTAGGCGTTCTAACAACCATCCATACATCCATATTAACTTCCGAATTTAAATAATTGAAAAAAAGAAAGGAGGTGTATAATTCTACATTTCTAGACTACTAATTGAGCTAAAAACTTTTTTGAAACGCACATAGTAACATGAGATTTTACGTAAGACCAAAAATAAAAAAAAAATACAAAAAGCATTTTTTTTAAGTTTTCAATCGAAATAATGAACGAATTATGTAATTAATGACATGAATTTCATTTTTCGTAAATGTAAACTTACGTAGCACGACGTAGCACGTAGCCATTGCTACGTTACGGGAACCTGCGCAGGTAAAAAAGGAGGTCGTAGACATCTGAATCTCATGTTACTATCTCAACATAAAATAAAAATATCTAAAACTTGATTTTGAATCATAGCTCCTCATTTACATAGCTCTTATGCGTTTAAATATGTCGTAAACGACAAGTCTTAACAAAATTAGGCCCTGTTCAAGTCGCAGACTGAGCAAGCTCGATGCGTAGGTAGCATCGGATCAAAATTTAATTGAATGTTTGGAACAATTGCTCGCTCACTGTTCGACAATACTTTTAGTCTGAACACGGCCTTAAATGATTTTACTCTACTTAAAGCTCAAGAATATTAATAAAAAAGTAATAAAATACAGTTAAATGTAAAATAAAACGGGGACGTTTCCTTAGCTTGTATAACAAGAGTCTTCTTTTCTTTTCTCTCCAATATACAAGCTCTTTCTCATTCTTCTCGGTGGTTACCTTCACAATTTATAATATATCACTCAGATTACATAATCGACTGTGTAGAGTGCGGCAATGTTGGCTAAATGATCATAGCGGGCAAAACTGACCTAATATCAGTACTATCGGAAACGTCGACGAGAGCAGACGTCTGTTGTGCATTACCAAGTTTGTGCTTAAGTACACTACCAGTACATAAATCATAGATAACTGGTTAAAATAACATCTACTTTTCTACAAATTATAATACGACTTCTGAGATCCTTTAATTCCAATGATTATTTGGCACACATATATCTTAAAAGCGAAGGCAAACTTTGATGACGTTGCATCCCATAGTAAAAGCGTCAGCATGCTACTGTATTACAACACTCATAAAATGATTATATTATACCATTAAACTCTACGAATAATCTAAAATATAAGTTAAGATAAAGGAGGTTTAGAAAGATAGACCACAGAAGAAGATTTAAGTAACCAATAATAAGGAATATACCAAGAAGCAGTTCCAAAGACAAAATAAAGTAAAGAAGTTAGAAGCTATCGTTTGTGCTCAATAGGCAACAGGATAGAGAGGATATCATCGATCAACTAGTATATTGTTAATCGAAGTCCACGATCTTAATATTTAAAAGATGGTTGGATTATCGCTGATAGTTTTTTGAAACTGCGGATTGTTGTTCAAAATCTCTCTAAGGACGCTCGTATAGGACAGAATACGAAAGGAGTCAATCAAACATGCCCTCAGCAAAAGGGAGACGAAGCGAACGTAATTAACCCTTTCTTCCTCCCGTTTCTTTACTGACACCGGATCAGTTTTGATTCCTGGAATAAATTATCAAGTCAATAAATTATGAATGATCATACAGCTTATTTATAGTTTTTCGATAGAACAGGAGTCAGGCATCGGTGGCTCAGGGGTTTAAGCACTTGACTTGTAATCTACAGGTCTTGAGTTCGAATCCCGCTGTATATCCGACGTTTTTACCGTAAAGAAAAATATCGTGATGCAACTTGCACTTAGCTTGACCTTGTATGTAACCTTGACTATGCTAGTCACCCCCCAGGGTAGGCTCCGAGTCCCTTGGTACGTATAATGATAGAATAGGAAACAACAAAAAATGCAACTGTTCTCAAGTTATTAATATTTTAGTCGTATTTATCACATTTAGGTAACTAAATTTGTATCCCAGTTGACTCCAAACTTTTTGCCCCTTTAATAAAGATAAAAAATAAAAAAATGACGTACTTTCAGCCATGATCTCCAACTTCACTTTGCGATCATGTTCGATCGCATCACTCAGATCCGTGAATGATTGAGAACGACGAAGGCTAGGCGGGACTGTGATGGAAGATAAAATGAATACGGGAAAATGTATTTTAAAATAAAATTACAATAACATATTCAGAATTAGCATAAGTCATTGTTGACTCCAAACATCTTCTTCACATCGTACTATAGTTTCAACTTTTACCTAACTCTTCTGATACAAATCCTAACACAAGTAACTATTGAAAATTTATTTTATTAACTGTAGCTATTTATTATGTTTGCCATTTACTACAGAGCGTAACGCCCATCTGTATTCCAAGAACACTGTTTTAAGTAATTATTGTAACTGCTTAATTTTTTTTTGCTGCAAAGAAACTCAAGATAAATAAATAAAAGAAAATCAAAATGTTACCTTCAATATCGAAGTCACTTGAATCGTCAATGCATCGAAGCTTGCGGCCGCGCAAGCCCACACCTATATGAAGTATAATAATTACGCATTTATAATAACACAAGAAGACAACCCTTTATTCCAGTATCCTTTCATCAATACGCAATAACGGACACTTTGAAAATTACTATTAAAAACCAAGTTTAAACGGCTTGATTCAAAGTTTGTCTACAACTCTGTTCTGATAACATTAGTAATCTAATTAAATTCGCACACTCTTACATTCAAACACAAGCAAATTGCATTCACAACTGGCACACCCGTGAAAATCTCTCATCGCCGAGATAAAATTAAAAATCAATTATCCGAGGACAATCACGCCTTTCTTCCAAAACAACAGAATGGAAAAACATGTACAAAAAAATCAACGATAAACATATGCATAAACAAATGTACCTGAACTTTTCTTCATCGGTTTTTTTATTGAACAGTATTTAATCGTTTTGCAGGCTTGGACAAAGACGCGGCGCGGGCGTCTCTTAGGAATAGGCTGAGCACCGGAGCCGGCTAAGATGAAATGATATACAAAAAGATTTATGAAATTTTGTACTTAGTTACCTTTACACGTAGATCTCATCTTGTATATATTTTTGTATATGTTTGTCGGACTTATATACTTGCTGTGTTAGTGTAACCTAAGAGCTCGTATGCATTAAGCGGGAATGTGCGGCCAGAGGCAATTAAAAATGTGTACATAAGGAGCACTTTAGCAAAGGCGGATGCTTTGATTGTTGCTGGTAGCGTTGCGGTTACATTGATATTAGGTGCGCGGTTACATAATTTGCTGCTCTTATCATATAGCAATTTATTTAGACCCCATCTACAAGTATAAGCAATTTTGAACCGCTGCGTTGCTACCGGACGGCAACTTGCTAACCGCTCAGTGCGTACGCGGCCTAATTTATCTATCGACGCACAGCTTAAACTATTGAATTTTTGAATATGTAGTTATTACACAAATTTACATTAGAACTAAAAAATAAATAAATTATGTAATGTGTAATTTAATTATTTTAATGTTTATGCAAAAAAATCACATTTTTTCGATCGCTAGCTGAATATTTATTATGAGTATTAGTTGAGCTTCAAAGTGGTTCAAATTAATAAAATTGTGAAATTCAAGTGGAATTATACATTTACAAAAACGCTACCAAACGCTATCATATTTACCTGAAAGGTTACCTTCAGCATTTTCATACTTTGCATCTTCAGAGTCCGGCATCTGCTTAATGCGCTTCGGAATAACAATATCAGACGCGGAGAGCCGACGTTTCAGCGGTGCTGACGACTGCGACACACAAGTCTCCCAAAAGCGACTTTTCTATTTAAAAAAATAATCAAATGTAAATTTTCATTTAAAATTTATGTCGCAAATACGTTTTATTTTTGATATTTTAAGATAAGAAAAAACTAGTACTGTTTGATAAACAATAACATGATTTAAGATAACAAACGGGAAATTAAGATATTTTATTTAATAACATTAACGTTAAATTACTAGCAATTATATTAAAAACGTACTGTCGCCCGTAAACTTCGTTAGCGCGGTATTTTTTAAAGTTATCCTTCTTGCCAGTATTACCTTCTACCAGATATCTTTCAGTGAAAGTCCCAATAAAATTGGACCACCCGTTACGCCATTTTGACAGCGCGGAATCAAAAATGTAGCCTATAATATGCCTATCCAAGTCAGCTACTCATATACAAATACATCTTCCCGAAATCTAGACTTTTTCTTTTGATATTACAGACACTCCAATTTTATTATATATAATTTGAATTTCGATTTGAAATAAACAAATCAGTTATTGTAATTAGACTATTGTAAAAATCACATTTTGAAAACTTATGCAAAGATCACACTCTGGAAACTGTACTTACTGTTGGATCAAACTCGTAAGGAACACTATTGTCGTCCTCGATCGCAGTTAAATATATGTTAATCATTCTGTCCACTTCAGATGTCGGAATATAATCATCTTCTGGGACTCTGCTTATTTTATTTCCTGTTGTTATTTCAGTGATCCTTTGTTTTACGCGAAATCTCACATAATGCAAATACTAAAAAAAATACTCGATTGTAATTGGCAAGTTCCTTTTCTATTTCAGCTTTTAAAATAATATTAAGGCTTTACCTGCGACCAACCAGTGGCACTTTTTACAGTACCGCCTTGTACAGCGTTCAACTTTTTAGCACATGTATCCCAATATGCATCCAAGGCTAAAGTACGACTATCACTTGGTGCCAATAGGTATAACCCTGGTAAGGATCTAGTTAGTTTAAGATACATATAGAGTTGTTCGTAGGTGACGTCTCGCCGAGCTATCCAAAACTCTGTAACATATTTTTTTTTACAAAAAGGTGGCAAACGGCAAAGTGGCAAAGTGACTGCTGCCCATAGACATCCACAACTGCAGATGCGTTGCCTACCCTAAATCGACGAAGGAGAAGCACATAAAGAGGTCATTTCCCTATCCTATGCGTCTCCTCCACCGGCAAGTCCACTTTCCCATTCATCCTTGAAGAAAATGGTGGGACGGGAAAGGGACTAAAATTGGGCCTCCGGCACCACTCAGACACGCACGCGTGTCTTCTGTGTGGTCGTGGTATTTCACCGGACGAGCCCACCCATTCGAGCGAAGATGTTAAAGCGGGCTCTACCACTGTCATATACCTATATTCTGTACCTTTAAAAAATATACCATACGTTTAATAAATTCAATTACAATGTAATTTTTAATACATACCTTTCGACATTTTTAATCGATTATTTTACGACGTTCGACTTGAGTGAAATACAATTACTTTTGAGAAAAACCAAAAAATGTACAAATTCACAATGTCCTCAAATGCACGATTTTATTGATATTTTTTATATAGATATTACAAATGAAATATAGCTAAAATCACAAACACGTTCACCTTTCTTTGTTCATGAAATCACACTGTTCAACACGTAAAATGTCTAGCTCTCGCCCGCCCTACAAACTGTGAGCAAAACAAAAATAAATCCTTTGCCATCCTTGTCTGTCAATAGACAGTTTCATTTTGTTTTAATCACCTATACCTACTTCCAATACATTTTATTTATTGTTATTTATTAAGTCCGTTAGATTACACTCCATACTATAATTGTAATATAGATATTTTTCAAATCAAACACTACATTCTTCTATTAAACTAAACAAATTGCTCCACGGAAGTGAGACAGCATGAAGATCCTGTGGACGTGACAACGTCGCATTTGTATTGATTTATTTGCAAGCATGCCTCTCCCTCTGTCAGCGCTTCAAGTGTTAGCTATCTGCGCAGTTGTTTCGCACAGATTTTATATTTTTAATCAGACTGAAGTTTCTAGAAAATTGTGTAGATAAATATACTTAGTTATAGGTGTGTTTATAATTTTTAATACGATTCCCTGGAAGTTATTCTTTTAAGCGCTGAAATTGATGCATGTTAAAGGGCAAAGGTACAGATTGCAGTGTGACAGAGTATTTGCTAACAGTACTAAATACGTTGTATGACATTGCAAATATTTACCTTACACGTCTACCTTTACATCGAGAAAATAAATCGATTTTCTAAAGACATTTAGTACTTTGCGTTTATTACTAATGTCTACTGTTCTAAGCATAATTACGTTCGTGTTCAAATATTAAAATCATGGTGTTTGACATGCTCAAGTTAATGCGAAGGGTAAGTTATTAAGTTGTTAATATTTACTTATTTAATTATTATAAATAAATTTTATTGAATCAAGTTACTATTCAAAGCTTGAAAGTAAATTTGACTTCATACACGAAGCGTTAAAGTTCATTTTTAAAGTATTTTTAAGTACCTTGATCGATTGAAAATTTATAGAAAAACTGTATCGGTTTCATCGGTGATGCTATTTTTAGAATCCGATTCTAATTAAAGCTGTTGTAACTAAAACAGTAATTAAAGAAACGTATTAACGAATATTTTTTCAATTTATTTAACTATATTATCTACTGTAATAATTTTACACCATCAATGCGTTTTTATTTCTTGTGTGTAAACATATTTCAATTGTAATGCTTCATTCGCGACCTCATTTTTAAAACATTTTTAATGGCCGTTTTATCCTTGCATTTCGCATATATTTTTAATAGCTATTCTATCGTCACCGATTATGACATTTATGTTTTAAGTAACGGTTGCTACAACTGCTATGAATTTAGTTCACACATTCTTTTAATTGAAGGCAGTGTTGGACAAAATTAAATTGCAATTAAAAGCATGCGCGCACACTTAAAACTTAAACTATCGCACAACTATCTTCACACCAATGAGTCGGCTCGCCCGGTGTAATACCACGACCGCACAAAAGACAGGTGTCAAGTGGAAGCAATTCCGCGTTTCGTCTAGTGAGTGTGGTGCCGGAGGCCTAATTTTAATCCCTTTCCCTTTCCACCCTTTTCTTAAGATGAGAGGATGGGTAGGAAAAGTGGATTTGACGGTGGAGGAGACGCATAGGAAGGGGAAATGTCCTCTTTATGTGCGTCTCCTCCTCCGTCAATTAAAGGTAGGCAACGCATCTGCAATAGCGGTTGTTTATGGGCAGCGGTCGCTTTCTATTTTCCGTGGATTCAGGAGGCCGCTTGCTCGTTTGCCACCTTATATTATAAAAAAAAAGTTAATTTCTTTACTTTATTTAAAAAGTAGCAAACGTGCAATCTGTCACCTAATCCGCCAAAATGGCGAAGCAACCGCCACCCATAGACATCCCCAATTCCAGATGTAATGTCTTCACTTGATCGACGGCGGAAGAAAGGCATATAAAGAGGACATTTCCCCTAAGCTTTTTCCACGTTCTCCACCGGCCAATCCACTTTCCCTTCCTATCTTTCCTTATCAGAAAAGGATGAGGATGGAAAAGGACTAAAAATTAGAACTCCGGCATGACACTCATCAGACTATACGCGAAATTGAACCCACTTCACGCCTGTCTTCTGTGTGGTCGTGGTATTGCGCGAGCTGACCCATTCGTTCCAAGAAGCGGAGTACCACTGTTGAACTTTGTTGCGTATTTCGAGTTTTTGATTTTCAAGAAGATAAGACACATTCCCGTCAACTTATTTTTTTTTTATTAAAAACAATTGTATGTTTATCGGTAAAAAGAAACTATAGGTCAATCTATCGTTGCTTTTTTTACAATAGTTACTAACATTAGTACCTGAAAGCATTGTTAAAAATAGTTAAATACTAAAAAATGTTCCTATTTTTATTTGATAAAAGTGCGTTCTTTTGAACGTTTTCGCAGTCCTTATCCAAAACAATATACAAGCGTCTATAGCGCATAGAGCGTTATATCGCAGACTTAAGTTTTCTTATCGGCCAGTAAGTTGTGGGCAGTGAATGGGGACGTTCATAGACAACGCGCGCGGGAAAATACTCGTATAATTTGCCGATTGGCTGTCATTTTGACATCGGTTTAAATTTAGAATGAAGTTTAGTTTTAAATATGGAAATTAAAGTTGATGTGGTGAGTCCTTTTTAAACAGTCTGAATCCCTATTTTGTTTAAATAACAAGTTTTACAAGACTATTGTCGTTTTTGATTCTATTAAATATTTTTTTTATCATAAGCCTTGTTTTAAAACATACTAAAATCTCATTCGCATTATTTTTTTGACTTTACAAACGCCGATTACTTTAAAATTTCATTAAGAAATTAGTGTTAAGTTTTATTTTGAAAAGTTTTATTTTTGGTTGTTATTTACTGGATACTGCAAACTAGTGTTTACACTACGTCTAAAGGAAAAAATATTTTTCCGTACTCCTAAATCCACGAAGTGGCAATCGTAAAGGTCTGTAATTATTATTTAATGTAAACTAATTGTTGGAAGACAGCGACTTGCAATTAAGTTCTAGTTTTAGCTAAGTTCGCCTCAATTGGCTTCTAACACGCGATTTGTATTCAAATGGCACCAAACAGAATTGTTTCTTTAACCATTGTACTGTGTTTTTATTATAGTAAAGATACGTCCTTGCTTTATACTCGTAATAATAATAATAAGAACATTTTACTGGTAAATAAATTTTAATAACCTTAGAAAGATTTCTATTCAAAAGTCGTAGGTTCGTATTCCGATATTCTGCGATTGTTTTAAAGAAATTAACGTCAAAGAAGTGTATTAACACGTTCTCTGCGTAAGAGGCCAATATCGGCCTGACGCTGTACTTAAGCAGGTGCGGAAGAAGAAAATTATGTCCCTCTCGCTAGTGCGAAACGATTATTTCAGGTATATACATTACATATATAAATGACATTACCACAATTATAATAGCAATTTAATCTATCCTACTGCCGGTGGGTCTAGAAAGACCTGGCACGCTCTGGCGGAAATATCATTAGGGGCGTGTTTTGGCCCGTCGCCGCACCAGTAAAGTTTTTTACTTGCAATGAACGTGTAAAAAAATTCCGTAGACCAAGTAGACAGAATCATAGTTTCGAAGTTTGTCAACCGATTTTTATTTCATTTTAATTAACTCATTGTTCATCAGTTACGTCAAATAAAATCTATTTGTTTGATTTCCAGTTATCATTATATGATCTATAAAATTTTGGCTTAGTAACCCGCCAGGCCTACTGCGTGTCAGACACTAAACAAAGTTAATATTTCGCCGCGCCCTTCCTATAAGTATTAAGTAATTATGTTTACCAAAGATACATTTACACCCCCGTAGACGTATGATGGATGACACAAAATATTTGATACCTCCATTAAAAGACTTCTGATTTAGAGGTGTAGACAGTTTTCAAGTTTCTCTGTTCTCTTCGACAGACACTTTTAGGTTTAAATTGACCTTAGAGGAGATTTTCAATTATTTTAACAATACGAGCTATAGTTAGAAGGTCCCATATTAAAAATCCTGTAATGTAATCTATGTGTGACTAATAGATTGCAAACTTCTACTTTTAATACGTCTAAATACTCCAAACCGTATAGAGCACCCTTCTCAAATCATCAACGCATCTGCAGTTCTTCTGGTTTTATGGAACGTTGTGAGGATGAATGGATGGAATGTTCATGTCGACTATAATCACCTCGGTATTCCCGTTGTTTTTTTCCCCCTCTATACTAATATTATAAAGATAAAAGGCTTGTAATTTGTATGCATCGATGTAATTCAAAAACTACACGGCCGATTTCATTCTTTCACTAGTAGAAAGCTACGCTATGGCTGTGTAATATGGGCTGTAAATTACACGTAGAAGAAGTGGCAAGCAAAAGCTAGGCTCTTTTTTTTAAAAAGCTGTAAAGAGCAGTGGCAACTAGGATTTCTAAAATGACTACAATCGTCCAACTCGAGTCAGATGATAAAATAATAAAATTCGTAATTGATTGGTAACAAACCATATGCAAATGATTACAAAGCGGTAATTGTAGTTGAGTGTCGAAGCGATACGGTGTCGGGCACGGCGAGGACACATTAACCTCCCAGTATCGGACACATTGTGATTTGAATACTGAATCGAGTCAACTGCTTTCCGAATGCGGCACGTAGCTAAAATATTTTAATCGATTATGAAACTACGACAAATGAGAATAACATTTTAGCGACGTGATTTTCACAATAACACAATTTTTCCATTTTACAAAACATTTTACCATCACAATTTTTATCGAATATTAGTCCGCGATTTAATTCGCGCAGAATTTAAAAATATACCCTATGTTAGTCAATAATAAATTAGTCTTCTAATATCAAAAGGTTTTTTAAGTCGGTTCACTACTTTTTGACCGACTTCCCAAAAGAAGGAGGTATTCAATTCGTCTATATGTGTTTTTTTTTTTTATTTTTGAGTCTAATCGTTACATACAAACATACGAATCATAGTTCTTTATAATATTAAATAGGAAAACAATACATCTTGTAAATGAAGGATATCAGGAAACAGCTTGTTCGTTTTTCATATTCTAACATTATCAGAAATATAAATAGATGGAATTATATTTTGTAATTAGTCAAAAGCGCTTACCTTTGACTAAACTATCGCACAACTGTTTTTTCGATTGTTTCGCAGCCAATTCAACTGTTCAGTTGCACTAGGAATCAACGCGAGACTAATAAGTTCTGCGATAGTTTAGTTTCAGGTGTTCACGTTCTAAGTGTTATACAATGTTGCATTGTTGAATGCTCCATAATTTTCTTGTGAGTTTGAATTGATTTGGTTATGTTTAGTTCGATTGTAATATGTCATAACATAAGATTTGACTGCAATGTCTCCCCCAGTGAATATTATATTAGAAAACGTTATGTGTGGGCTATCGTTTATGACTTAACGACGTCAATAAAACGGATCATAAAATGCTATTGTTTGCACTATTGAAATCTATCTCTAGAATTAGATAACTGTCGAAACATAGATCATTATTAAAAAGATAAAAAATGTACAGTGGGGGTTGATAGTAAAAAATAAAAAAACGAAACGTCCCATCGTTTCGTCCAAAAGATAGCTTCTCTCGTTTTCCCATGAAAGCTAGACAGTAACAGACTAAAGTCGCTTTTCGTTTATGTTGTTTACTGCCTAACCCCACAGATCATTAAACAGAGTAGTACCCATAGACATTGGCTAAATATTTAAAAAATTCCCTTGCTTACTAAACACGAAAGAGGATATTCAGACAAAAATCCCTTTCATGTATGTTATCTCGGAAAATATATGCAATGTGTACTAACGTCCTTGCCTTCATATGATTGACCAACCTGCATTGATTAAAATGCAAGGTAAATTAAGGAAAATAAAAAATGTTCGATCAAATGAAGCATTACAGATACAGATTACACTAAAAACTCAAAGTTAGTTATTTGTTCTCTTAATATCGCTTGTTAAAAACATGGATTGTCTACTAATAAAATTCCACTGAGAACTAGGTTTCCTTTGATAGAAGATCTAAATTCGTTTTCTCTTATATTTTAGCACACGGTCCACCCATCGTCGTCGCAGCCGCCGAAGACCCATCCCGTTTTAAAATCCGCTTCGAAATCTACATATAGCTCCTGGTGTACTCCAGAAGCAACTCCGACTCATGAAAAGTAAGTTCGAAATTATTCTTTAACTAGCTGTGAGTCGCGACTTCACACGCGTCAAATTATATTACTCACAGATAAATTACCTTTCCAACGGTGAAAGAATTTTTAAAATCGGCCCTGTAGTTTTTGAGTTATTCCAATACATACAAAAGTATAAAAATACAAATATCCCCTCTTTAAAATATTAGTACAGACACACAAGGAAATAAATTAGTACTATTCAAACATTTTATTTCACTTTTACAGATTGACTAAAACAGTATCGAACATCGAAAAACAAACTAAAGTAAAAGAGGATACTGAGCATTATAAAGAAAAAAGGTAAAGAAAAACCCATTCGCTCTTACTAGTAATTTAAATTAATAACGAATACGAAAGGTAATTGAAATATTAATATTTTCAGAATATTTCCTTCACAAAAAGTGAGGTTATTTGCGAATAGCCCACCGCCGATATTTAAACTTAAGAACGATGTCAAAGAATCCATCACAGAGCTCAAAGACTTTAAAGATCCTACATCGGAAGACAACTCTTTTAAGAGGTTTGTTAGACTATGGTAGTTTATTAGCCTGATAAAAAGTTCTAACTACTAGTAGTTAAGTTATTAAAACTTTCGTGAGATATATTATACCAATGATAAAACACGCCTTAACTCACGTGACAACCTTCGGGTGTAGGCACCACCAGTTTCGGACCCGTCAAGGGTCCTCCTTCAGGGTAAGATGACGATCACGACGCGATATCGAACAAACCCCAACGGGTCAAAGACTGGTCTACAGTTGAGCTTGTCATGGGACTTAAGCAATCTTTTGTAATTAATATAGGAATCCACTAACTAATAGTGTATAACTAAATTCGGTTAAGAGGTAGTATTATAGTTAAATACTTATTTGTTTTATAGACCAACACCTGAGAGACAATTGGTACCGATAATCGAGACGCCTCAAAGCCCCGTGCCCTCCTCTCCCAGCCGCTACAAGAAGTGCAAAGGCCTCTCTCTGCCCACCTTTTGCGACCCCTTCCTCCCCATCGACCCCCAGGGTGAGTTAATCATACAATTTGTTATTAGTTAATTGTCCACGGGACACCATTATAGAAATTGAAGTCATATTGAGGTTAACTTTTTATAGCGAACAAGTTATATTAATGCATTTGACCGCGATTCCGTCCGCGTGAAATTAAAAAAAGTAAGTAGCCTATGTGTTCTTCCAGACTATCCTCTACGTCTATGCCAAATTTTATCGAGATCCGTTTAGCCGTTTAGGCTACAAACTCTAACAAACATGCATCTAAACTTTTGCATTTATAGTGTTAGTAAGATTAGTAAATAAAACTCATTGATGTTCTAGTTTTCTTTAATATCTCTTTTTATCAATAAGGTCGAGGCTATATAAGCTGGTTGCTGCTGGTAACATTCTGCTATAGCTACAATGCGTGGTGCATCGCACTGCGTGCCACCTTCCCCTACCAGACGGCAGAGAACACGCCACTGTGGATGATGGCCGACTACTTCTGTGACACCGTCTACTTACTGGATGTGGCTTTCGTCAAGCCCAGGCTTATGTTCCTACATGAGGGATTCTGGGTCGATGACCGTGTGGAGACTAGGAGGAATTACAGAAAGAAGCTGCAATTCAAAGTATTTTAACAATTTTGTACTGATCTTGTATATATGAAACTATTGTTTAGATAACGGAATAATTTATAATTTTATTTTTCAGTTCGACGTGATTTCACTTCTCCCGCTAGATCTATTGTACTTTTACTTCGGAACGCAGAAAGTGATACTTCGTTTCCCGAGGCTACTGAAACTGCAAACATTCTGGGAGTTTCATCAAGCGATGGACCGGGTTCTGTCTTCTCCATATATTGTACGTATAACTATAACTTCGCAATTTCTTTAAGTCAACAATTGTCTCTAGTATCAGTCTATAAAACTTATTCTTGTCTTTAGGTGAGGATCGGAAAGACATTGTTCTACATTTTTTACCTGATCCACTTAAATGCATGCGCATATTATGCGATGAGCGACTACATCGGCCTCGCCAGCAACGGCTGGGTGTACGACAACGTTGGCAATGCTTATATCAGGTGCTTCTACTTCGCCACCAAGACTGCTACCTCCATCGGTATGTAGAGTACCTATACATATATTTGTATTGACAGCCGATCGTTAAAAGCAGTTTTTATTCTGACAGGTAAAAATCCGAAGCCAGAGAATACAGCGGAGTACCTGTTCATGACGGCCGCTTGGCTGATGGGCGTGTTCGTGTTTGCATTGCTCATAGGACAGATCCGTGACATCATAGCTACAGCCACCAGAGCAAGGGTAGGATTGTGTTCCCCAAGCCGAGCCGGTTGGCTTTGTTCATCCTCCTTCTATTGTTAAAACGTTACGTGCAGACGGAGTACCGCAAGTCAGTGGATGGTTGCGCGCGGTACTTGCGGCGGCTGGGCATGCCGCGCGCGCTGCAGCGCCGCGTCGCCTGCTGGTACTCCTACACCTGGAGCCAGCAGAGGTGCTTCGGTGAGTGCTGCATTTGAAGACAAAATGCAAAAGAAAATTTGATTAAACGGATTCTCATTATCGATATATTTTCAGATGAATCAAAGATACTGAATTCATTGCCTTACAATATGAAGAGAGATGTTGCTCTAGCTGTCCACATGTCGACATTGAGCAAGGTAACTACTTGATTTAAATTTGTAATACTTTAACTAAACAATACTATGCTACTGTTTTGTGGTGTGTGTGTGTGTGTGCAGGTGCAGCTGTTCCGCGACTGCTCGGCGTCGCTGCTGCGCGACCTGGTGCTGCAGCTGCGGCCGGTGTCGTGCCTGCCCGGCGACCTGCTCGTGCGCCGCGGCGACGTCGGACACCACATGTACATCGTCAAGAACGGCGAGTGCTGCGTCAGTATACACACTACCTAATACTACTGCATCCATCCATGCAAATATTACAAAACCCATTTCCTTTGTATTCAGGTGATGTCGCAAGATGAAAGCGAAGTGGTAGCGACGTTGCGCGAAGGTTCCGTATTTGGAGAGATCAGCCTGCTGGGGATCGATGGCCTACGCCGGCGCACCGCCTCTGTCCGGTAACTTACATGACATATCAACATATTTCTCGACGACGTCCAAAGATTTGTTTATATTCAAATTCATTTCTTATATTTTAACAGGTCTCGGGGTTATTCTAATCTATTCGCACTATCGCGGAGCGATTTAGACGCGGCGCTGAAGCATCACAAAGAGGCTGCGCAGATCCTTCGTTTACGCGCCGATCAGATCATAAGAGAGAATGCGGCGCGTCAGGCGAAGCAGAGGATGGCGAAGTTGGCAGCGAAGAAGTCGGCGAACAGCGAGGAAGGGGGCAGGAGGAGCAGCGAGGAAGGAGCGAGGAAGCGGCGGCAGAGCGGCTCGAGTGTCAGCAGCCAGCCCGAGCGCCGGCACCGCTCCGCTAGCGCCGTGTCCCGGCGACGTCTCTCCGCTGTCTCCGAAAATGTACCCAAAATGACGTCTCATCAGGTAAAACTTTTTTTTACTAATTAAATACCACGATTTTGGATTCTTTAGTAGGTCTAATTCATTATCATTGTTTGAAGATTCATAATTGATATATGCCATTTATTTTATTATTGTTTACAGAAGATACAAGAAGAGGATGTACCACCACCGAACTACCCGACTTTGTCTGTACCGAAGATTGTACTCTCTATCGAATAAAAGAAGTTTTATAAAATTGATGTAATAATAATATCAAATCAGTATTTCTCGATGTTATATTTACGTAGTAGGTAAGCTTACTACAAATATTATTATTGTTCCTATTTTATTTACATTCGTTAGTTACTGAAATATATTTGCTATTCGAAGCGCTATTCAAAATACATGGACACTTCTAATAATCAATTTTATTTATATTAATTAACAATCCCACTTATCAACACTTTTAATAAAAGAATAAAAAAGTCACTGAAATTAAAATAAATTTATATACAGAGTGATTTTATATCCGTGATTTATTAAGATAGGTTTTATTTATTTTTACGAATTTCAACATATCTGAATATTATACGATTATTTAAATGATTTTTTAAGTTAATAAACTATCTGCGACTGAATGAGATTTGTGTCAAATTTTTATAGATATGTATTTTGTTTAGATATTTTAATACTCAGCTCAAATAAACAGAAATCATAGCAATACTTTTATTGTATACATTCAAACGCTACAAATATTATTTAGGTATTCAAACATTGTATTTAGTTGTATATGAGAAAGAAAGTGTTTTGAAAATATTGTTAGTTAGTAGTTTTAAAGAGAAGTATACAGTTTCTTTTAATATGAATTGAAAATTTATATTCTTTTCGTTCTTGTAGCAAACCAAAGGAGGTTTTTTATGAATTCTAGTCAACCTAACAATTTTAATATAATATTTGTAGAAGATAATAATAAATGTATTGGCCTAAAATCTCGTTAATATGTACATTATATTTTTTTATGTCTTGGGACTTATTTTAATACTTTAAAGCTATGTGCTTAGTTTAAAAATATAAATCTATTGAATCAACATTTTTATTATTTGTATTATCATTAAAAAATTACGAAAAAATAAAATGTTTATATTTATACTTATTAAATGTAACTTGTGTGGATACATTGGAGTTTTTTTTAACACCCTCTATAACCTTGGACATTATGACATCTCTATTCTAGTTTTTATTAATATAACAATTAATTAACAAGCTTAAAAAATAATAGTTTTAATAAACGATTAATTTTTAAACCCTGTTAAAGTGCAAAAGAGTTTTGTCTTCCTTTTCAGTATTCTTGGAATAAAAATTCTTTTTGTAATACTACTTTTTTCGACAATAAGTCACTATAAAGCTATAAAAAAGTTTGTAATCGTTCCTAAAATTTTATGTAAAACAATTTGTTTCTTCATAGTTTCCCTCGCCATGGTAATCATCAAAAATGTCCCCTAATGCCCTTATTACATTAATTATTGTTACGACGGAATTGCGTGCATCGGAATGGAATATTTAAAAATTGTCTGTCTAATATGAACTTTATGCTTACGCAATAAAGGCTATCTTTCATTAAAATTTAAACGACTAGGGATTTTATTTCATTACCAAAGCATGTTTCACAACAAAGTATGCGATTTGTATAATTTTACTAAAGACTATGTTAACCTCTTTGCTCTTTTTGACCGACTTCCCAAAAGAAGGAGGTATTCAATTCGACGGTATATTTTTTTTTTTTTTTTTTTTTTTTTTTTTTTTTTTTT